AATGGACAACTGAATGAGTTTATATTTAAAATTGGCCATCAAGAGAATTGGATTCTTTCTTGTACCTAACTTACCTACAGGACATGTGACCTTTATTTACTTTGTTTGCATCTAAAACTACAGTTAATGGGTACACTATATTAACCTACTTATTTCATGAGAACACTGAGAGGAGTTTAAATTAAGGACTGGCTGACAAAATGGTGATTGTGAATAGACTTTTGAAAATGCATTAAATGTTAGAAAATTGGTACATAAACAAATGTCCCAATAGATGTACAAGAAAGATATCACACAGATGCCCACTCATGTACCATCAGTGAAGTCCTTAAAAATCAGAGTTGCACAAAGAGACCAGACATTTGAAAAGCAAATGTATATATAGGGAAGAGTTAGACACTGAAGGAAAAAAACAGAAAGATCATTATGGCCTAAGAAATGTCTTTATTGGTAAGTATCCTAAATCCAGAAGTGTGTATGATGGTATGGACTAGCCCATCTGAGACCAGAACAATCGGTGACAAAGGAAAAGGAATCTAGAATGAACTGAATATTTCCAGACTCACATTGTCTAGGATTTATACTAGTTCCATAGTGACCCTACCAGCAAGGTTGTGTGATATTGTGATATATATTAATAAATACATATTTGGTCTTTCTTCCCAGTTCCTTTATGAAACAGAGTTCCTAAAACCCTTGGGATTACTTAAGTGATGAAAGCCAAAAAGATGTGTTTTGTTACGTCAGTGAGATGGCTTTTGCAAAGCCCCTAAATTCTCTATGGGTGGAGGTTGGTTACTAACAGAACCAACTACTTGATTACATGGCCATCAGTTCCATTCCCTGACCTCAGAGAGGGGGAAGGGGCTAGAGATTGAGTTCAGTCACCAATGATTTAATGAGTCATGCGTATGTAATGAGGGCCCCTAAAAAACCTGAAGGACTGCCCTGGAAAGTTTCTGGGCAGCCTGTTCTCTGACAGCCTGCTGTCAGAAGGCAAAGAAAGTCTGAGTTCTTTCCCCTTGTCCTATGTATCTCTTCCATCTGGCTCTTCCTGAGTTACAGCCTTTTGTTCAAAACGGGTAAGCTAGTAAGTAAAACGTTGCTGTGAGTTCTGTGAGCCACTCTAGCAAATTAACCAAACCCAAGATGGGGTCCTGGGACATAGCTGGTGGTCTGTCAGAAGCACAGGTAATTCATTACCTGGATTTGAATCTGGCATTTGAATTGGGGTGACAGATGTGGGAGGGGCAGTCCTATAGGACTGAACCCTTAACCTATAAAATCTGGTGCTATTTCCACATAGATAGTGTAGGACTTGAGCTGAATTGTAGGACATCCACCTGGTGTCCGAGAATTGCTTGGTGGTGTGCACAGGGAAATACAGATGTCAGAACTGGGTGCCAGAATCTCAACTGGTCATTCAAGAAACTTGTGTGTCAAGTCCAATAGATTCTACTTTCAAAATTAAAAACAAATGCATCCACTCTTCTTTTTTTTGTTAATTTGTTCTTTCTACCTTTATTATTAATGTTGACACCATTACAGATGTCCCCATTTCCCCTCTCTTTGGCCATCTCTAACTAGGCCCCGCCCCCATTCCTTCTGGCTATCACTACACTGTTGTCTGTGTCTAGGGGTCATGCATATATGTTCTTAGGCTAATCCTTTTCCTTCTTTCATTCAGTACCACCCTCCCCCACCACTGACTGCTGTCAGTCTGTTCCATGTACCCACACCTCTATTTCTATCTTGTTTGTTTATTTTGTTCATTAGATTTCACATAAAGTGAGATCATATGGTATTTGTCTTCTTATGACTGGCTTATTTTATTTAGCATAATAATCTCCAGGGGCATCCATGCTATTTCAAAGGTAAGATTTCCTTTTTTTTTTTTTACAAGTATGTAGTATTCTATTGTGTAAATGTACCACAGCTTTTTTATCCATACATCTACTGATAGGCACTTGCACTGTTGTAAATAACACTGCTATGAATATAGACATGCATATATTCTTTCAAATTGGATCCTTAGGATATATTCCCAGAAGTGACATCACTGAGTCAAATGGCCATTGCATTTTTAATTTTTTGAGAAAACTCCATACTATTGTCCACAGGGACTGTACCAAACTGCCTTCCCACCAACAGTAAATGAGGGTTCCCTTGCCTCCACAGCCTCTCTGGCACTTGTTTGTTTCATTCACTTTTTATCACTTCTGTTACCACCTCAGTTAAGCCTCCATCATCTCTCACCTGGACTAGACTTCCACTGGTCTCCCATTTTCCTCTATGCAGTACTTTTGCTACATAGCAACCAGAAAGATCTTTCAAGTGGCTCTCCTTATTCCTGCACTAAAAATCCTTCAAAGGCTTTCTCCAATGTACTTGAGATATAAACCAAACTACTTACATGACCCACAAGGTCTTCATGACCTGGCCCCTGCCTCTGTCACTATTTCATTTTGTACCACTCACCACCTCATTTCTGCACATTACCTTGCTTTCAATTCCTCAAAGCCACCAAATTATTTCCTGCCTCAGGCCATTGTACTTGTTGCTCCCTCTACTTAATATCTTTTTCTCCCTATACTTTCCCCAACTAATTCATTTATCCTTCAGATGGTGGATTAAATGTCACTTTGTCCGAAAGACCTCTCTGGCTCTCCAATTGAAATTAGAGCTCCCCCCTGAAACCTATATAATTTTATTAACCAATATCACCCCAATAAATTTAATACAAAATTAGGGCCCCCTTTCATATACTTTAATTGCATTTGTCACTTAACTTCATATAATTATAAATATCTATGTATGTATGTACATATGTATATTTTTCCTTACCAGACTATAGACTCCAAGGGGTTATTAGTCATGTCCCCTTTGTCTACCACTGGATACCAGTGCCCAGCACAGTACTTGGCACGGTAAGTATTTTTGGAATGATCCTGCAAGGTGGATAATTCCATATTTTACATGAGGACACTAAGATCCAGAGTGAAACAACTTTTAAGAACTAAAACAGTATTTTGATGTCTGATTAGAAAACATTAAAATAAGTTTTCCCACATGGTTGATTTGATTCTTCAGACTACTAGATTATTCACACCTTCGGAATAGAGTTGTTGGGGAGAGAGAGGCTCCACCCCAGACTTAGTATGTGCTGAAATCTCACCTCAGGTGTTGTGTCCTGTGTCTGGTTAAGCGTCCCACAGAAGGAGGAATCTCCATGTCGGCATTGAGCCCTATACTGTCTACCTCTGAAATGGTACTAATCACACTTCTCAGGATGCTTTGTTGCAGTCAAGCTTTTTGACTTTCAACAGGCAGGGCATACTGGGAAATTTAGTTCCCTAAACTGCCTTATCACAAGGGATAAGCCATTGTATGCCTTTTGTTCTTGAGTAAGTAACAGCACCCTTTTTACTCTCAAAGGTATCCCAGCTGGATGATAAATTATAGGATTACATTACATATCAAAGTCTACATTTAGTCTGTGTCAGAATATGATCTGTTTTTCCCACCCTGACTTCAAGAGGACCCATCCCTGGTGAGGTTTAGTTCTCAGGGTTACAAGGTATTAGAAGTAAGACAGTGTAACTTGGAAGTCAACTTTTGTGATTTAGGAAAGCATTCTTCTTCTTCTTCTTCTTTTACTATTATTTACTTTTGTTGTTTTTCAGGTGCAGTTGTCTCCATTTTCCCTCATACTCTCCCTCCCTCCCACCCCACCTACCCCTACCTTCCATCCTCAATTCTGTCCCCCTTTGGATTTGTTCATGGGTCCTTTATACAATGTTCACTGACAACCCTTCCCTTTCTTAAGGCAATAGAGGATTTACTTAACTTAGATACTACTTGACAGGTTAAAGAAAGAATTTTAAAGCTTTTTGCTTTGCTAAACAAAGCCTCTAAAAATTCAAATTACTCCCTTGATAAACTTTAATAACGGAAAAAATAAAATAAAAGGGCAGGTTTCTGTGCAGGCTTTCCTTATCACGGCATAAAATCTGTGCTGCGTCCTTGGGTACAGCACTGAGTCAGATAGAAAGCTGACTTAACTGCACTGAAAATGTACAACAATCTCCTGGAAATGGAAAAGGGAGTAAGGAATAGTCTTGAGGGCTTCTTCAAGATGTTTCTCTCAAATCTGAATCCTCAGATTTATACTCTAAGACATACTTAGATTTTTCTCTTTTTTACCCACTTAAAAAAACTGGTAAACTATGCTAACAGAAAATGTACCGTTATGACCATTTTCAAGTGTACCATTCAGGGCCATTAAGTACATCTACATTGTTATGCAACCATCACCGCCGTCCAACCCCAGAACTTGTTTCATCTTGGAAAACTGAAACTCTGTACCCATTAAACCTGGACAATCAGAAGCTCATTTAATAGATAGTGCCATTTTTAAAAAGAGTGGTCCGTTTTACATTCCAGTAGTTGGATAGAAGAATTCATTTACTTCACACCCTCGCTAACATTTGGTTTTTTCCTTTTTTTTTTTTTTTTTTACCCCACTATTCTATTTGGAAATATAAAAATAACTGAAGCAAAGTTTAGATTGCCTTTGGGAACCTTTTAATTTTTGGTTTGGTTCTCTGAATTATTAACCATCTCAAACTTCTATTTTGTCCAGCCACAACGTGCAGACTGTGAATGCGTTTTCGACTTTGCTCCACATTTTATGCTTACTTTGCCCCTTGGATGCCATCCGGTCAAGAAACTAAGGTGTGTGTCCAAGGCGTGGAAAGTCCTTTGAGGACTGGGAAAGTCTGAGCACTGTGTAGGCGAAATTTATGAAGACCTTTTTCCATTAGTTTATCTTTATTAGACTCCAATCCATGATCTAAGAGGTTCTGTCCGCCTCTGGTCACCCCAATGCACACCCGGGTCCCGGGAATGCAGAGAACCCCGGACCTCCGAGACTAGCCAGAACCCGGGTGGAGCCGGGCTGGGGACCTGGTCTCCGCGGAGCATGCGCAGACCAAGCCCGGCGCATGCTCGGCAACGCGGCGGGTCTACAGATGAGGGGAGTCGAGTCTCCCGCGCCCCACCATTCCCGGCGGACCTGCGGCTGAGCCGCTTGTTCTGCGTCCTGACTGCCAATAAAGTTTGTTAGAAAAATCATAGTCATCCTTAAAAGAGCGAAAGAGGGCTCGAACCTGCTGGGCGGACGCACGGAGGGAGCTGGCGCGCTAGGAGGAAAAGGTGACGGCGGCGGCAGCGGTTGCGCCGCGACCAAGAAGAGCCGGTCTCGCTGGGCTGCGGGTCCTCGGCGGCCAAGGGGGACGGTGAGTGGCGGCTCACTTTCACACAGTAGCGTCCTGCACTTACTAGTCCTCTCCAAGAGATGAGGACGACTCCGTCTTCCCCGAAGAAGGACCCGCCTGTCTTCGGGGTCCCGGAAAGTGCCTTCCTCTGGGGACTGGAGAAGGGTTTGGGGGTCAGGGGCCTCCAGGCCCAGGCTCCCATCCCCCGGCCCAGGCCCCCCGAGCGCTTGCTTGCCCGCCTCTGAGCGCGGGGTCTAAGTTCCAGCTGGGGGAGGTGGGCGGCAGCGCCTGCCCGGCACCCCCTCCCAGTTCCCAGCGATCTGGTCTTCCTGGGTGTGGGTGCCTGGAATTGCCCCTTGGGCGGGAATGCGCGAGGTGGAGCGGGGTGAGGTGCTGCGCCTCCATCCTAGCGGAGTTCCTGCCTGCTTGCTCTCCCCCTGTCCCCAGGGTGGGAAGGGGCGATCTCGGCGGGGTGGGACACCAGCTAAGGGGCATTAAGTACCCACCCAGGTTAGGTTTGATGGGGAACAACAGCTGGTCCCTGCAGAGGGCCTCTTCCTAGCCCGCGGCCCCACCCTTCCCTAGTTTCTCGCTCAGACTGGTGGAATATGAATGAGTCGTACTGCACTATTTCATTGACACTGGAAGCCACAGAATTACTTTACTCGAACTGAGAAGCCCTAGTTCCCAGGCGGAGGAACCTGAGGGTGTGTGAGAGAGTAGGTAGTAAACTGAGCTATCAAGTAGCGGTAGACTCAGAAAAGGGCCGTTTACCTCTCTAGCTTTTGTGTAACGCCTAACATGTAGGTGTGAATATAATCACACCTGTACTTAAGTACAGGCTGTGATGTAAAAAAACAAAAACAAAACCCTTTTGATCAGTGAGTTACTCTACTAATTTATAAAATTGCATTGACAAAATCTTTTAAATTAAATTTGGAGTAAAAAGTAGGTAGTGTTACTGTCAAGCTTTTTAATTATGGTGCTCAGAATTATGCCTATTTTTGAAGAACTTAATTGTTTTGATTTAGTATTTTGAGAGTAGTAGTGACAGTCACAAACGTTACACTGCCTGTGTTGAAATCTGATTGCATTTTTTCTTCAAATTTTATTATTTTTTAAATTATCATACAGTAAAATTGACTTTTTTTTTTAGAGTTGTGTTCAATGAATTTTAGATTCAACTAACCACCATGACACTTAGGATATAGAATAGTTCTATCACCTCCCCATCAAAACTCATGCTATTTTTTTATATCCTTTCCCTAACTCAGCAATCACAGGTGCCCCCCCCCCCCAGGTTACTGTGGGGTTGAGACCTGATAAACCCCATTGTAAGTTGAAAATAAGCTGATGTCCTGGCAGGTAGGCCCGTAGGTTAGAGCATCGTCCCCATAAGCCAAGGTTGTGGGTTGGGTTTGGGTTTGGGTCAGGGCACATACAAGAACTGACTAGTGAATGCATAAATAAGTGGAACAAGTAATCGATGTTTCTTCCCCACCCTCCTTTTTTCCTCCTCTCTCCATCCTCCTTCCACTCTTCCTTTCCTTCTCTCTAAAAATCCATAAAAAAATAAAATAGATTGAAATCCATTTAATACCTATTGTACTGTAGGGTATCAGTTGTTTACCCTCCTGAATTCCTGGCTGAGTTGGAGTTGCAGCCCTAACTGGATCCCAGCATGACAAGAGTCTATCATACTGTATATTACTAACCCAAGAAAAGGTCAAAATTCAAAATTTGGGTATGGTTTCTACTGAATTCCTATTGTTTTCACACCATCATAAAATTGAAAATTGTAAGTCAAACCATGTAAGTCTGGGACCATCTGTACTGATCTTTTCTAGAATGTCATATACAGTAAATGGAATCATGTAACACATAATCTGATGCTGACTTCTTTCAGCATAAAGCCTTTGAGATTCCTCTGAGCTGTTGCATGTACCCCATTGAAGGATGCTTGGATTGTTTCCAGTTTTTGGCAATTATGAATAGAGCTGCCCCTATATTCATAATGTGTGAATCCAATGTGTGGTTGCCCCTATAAACATTTGTGTACAGGTTTTTTTTTAAACATATACATTTAACTTTATCATTACCATTTAAAGCTTGATTTTATAAAACACAAAAAGACATTTTTAAGAATTCTGTATCACTTAAATAGTAGAAATAGTGATAGCTTTGTAAGTGTAAATTATATACATTAAATCAAGTAATTGGAGACTTTTTTCAATATGGAAACTGCAAATGAAATAAATGGCAAAAGGACCTAATAGCAATATTTTGTTATTGTGCATTATCAGTTACTTTAGGACCTAAAAAAATTCTGAATAGTCAGACTTCTTTTGCTGTGTTTCATATTTACCTATATTCTGAGTCAAGCTACTCAGACCAAAAGGTCTGAAAACAAAGGCATTTAGCTTTATAGCAAAAGTTTTCCCACCTGGTTTCTACCTTCAAAGGAAATGACATGACAGTGCTAATGTCATCTGCTGGTTCCCCTGTGAACAGTATGCAAAAAATTACACCAACTCTATGGAAAGTCAAAGAATTACCCCAAAGTGGAACAGTTATGCACAGTTCAGTAAATATAGCATAATGTTAAGTTTTCCCCATCTAAAAATTAATCAATGAAATACATCATGAATTATAGTTAACTTGGATTCAGGAAACATTTGAGAATTATGTTATTGTTCCTGGCTCATCTTCAGTCAGGGACAGGAATTTTGTAGGCCACCATGCTGTTTACTTTGTGGACTGTAGTAATGAAGGAATGCAGATGGACTTGCTCAGAGTTGATAATGAACTGTGTGTGGTCCTGATTCCACCCACTTATCAGGTACAACCAAATCTTTATATATAGATCAGCAGATCAAATGAACAAGAAACTTCCAACAGTGGCAAAAATGTCACTGTAGCTGTGATCTGTCTGATCACAGCAAATTTCATCTTGGATAGCTTTCTGAGATTTTTCTCAAGGAGTACTGTCATCGTTGGCAGTTTTGTCACACTTAGTATCTCTCAATATTCCCCTTTCAAGGACCCCTTCCAATATTCAAGATGACAACCACCAGTTTCTGAATCGAAGCACTTGTATAACCAATATTTTAGTTGTTCCACCACATTATTTATGTATGTCATGAACTCAGCATCAGTAGTTATAAGCAAGGTGAGTCCATATTTTTATGCTTGAGTACAGGTTTCAGAGGGATAAACGCCACATTGGTACAAAATGCTATTGATGCCAAATGAGACTAGGCCATGATTTCAGCGCTCCCGTGCAGGGTGATGCTCTCCCCCCCGGAGAGCTGCGGCACCAAGGCCAGGACCGCCTCACCCCAACCCTGACAGGTGACCTCAGGGCTCCGATGATGGTTTTTTAAAAATTTTTTTAAATGAACATAAGCTTTCATTTCTCTAGGGTATGGTAGAAGTGGAATTGCAGGTTCACGTAAAGTATGTTTAACTTTATAAGAAATTGTCACATTGAGTGGCTGTATCATTTTGAATTTAGACTATTCTAATAGGCATGTAGTGGTATCTTGTGGCTTTTTAAAGTGTCTTTAACTAACGGCTAAAGATGTTGAATATATTTTCATGTGCTTATTTGGCATATCTTTGCTGAGTATTTGGCCAAGAGTTTTGCCAATTTTTTAATTGAGTTGTTTGTTTATGTTGAGTTTTTAGGGTTCTTTATATGTTCTACATACAAGTTATTTGGTCAATATGTGTTTTGCAAGTATTTTCTCCCAGTCTGTAGCTTATCTTTTCATTCTTGTAACAGTGTCTTTCACAGAGCAAATGTTTTAATTTTGGTGAGGTGTAATTTATCAGTTTTTTGTTTTGAGGATCTTTTGTTATGATGGCTAAGAAATCTGCCTAAACCTAGGCCATGAAGATTTTCACCTTCTAAAAGTTTGTTTCTAAAAATTATAGTTTTACACTTGTGTCTGTGACACATTTGGGGAATTATTTGTATAAAGTGTGAGGTTTAGGGAAAGGTTTACTTATTTGCATATTAATGCCCAGTTGTTCCATTGAAAAGGCTGTCATTTCTCCGCTAAATTGTTTTTGCACTTTTGTCAAAAATCAATTTGCTCTATTTGTGTGGGTCTAATTTTGGATCCTCTGTTCTGTTCCATTGATTTATGTATCTTTCTCTTTGCTAGTATCACACTTTAAAAAAAAAAGATTTTATTTTATTTTATTTTCAGAGAGGGGGTAAGGGAGAGAAAGAGAGGGAGAGAAACATCAATGTGTGGTTGCTCCTTGAGTGCCCCTTACTGGGGATCTGGCCTGCAACTCAGGCATGTGCCCTGACTGGGAATCAAACCAGTGATCCTTTGGTTCACAAGCCGGCACTCAGCCCACTGAGCCACACCCGCTGGGGCACTAGCATCACACATTTTTGATCGACAAAGCTTTATAGTATATTAATATCAGGTAATAGGATCTCCTCCAATTTTATTCTTTCTCAAAATTGTTTTAGCCATTCTAATTCCTTTGCCTTTCCATATAAAATTTAGAATCAGCTTGTTTCTAACTACAAAAAATCCTGCCAATACTTTGGAATTGCATTAAACCATAAATCGATTGTGGGAGAATTGCTGTTTTTACTTAGTCATCTCATCTATGGACATGCTCTATCTTCCCATTTATTTAGGTCTTTGTTTCATTAGCACTTGTAATTTTCAGCATACAGATCTTGTACCTGTTTATTAGATTTATTCCCCAGTAATATTTTTGAAACTCTAGTAAATGTCATTTAAAAGTTTTTGGTTTTAAATTGTACATTGTTAGGATATAGAAATACAATCGAGTGTTATGTGTTATGCTTTATCATGTGTTCTTACTAAACTCATTTATTAGCTCCAGGATTTTTTGTTTGTTTGTTTTAATTCCTCGGAGTTTTCTACATAGACAGTCATATCATGTGTGACTAGAGACGGTTTTATTTCTCTTTTCCCTTATCTAAGCATTTAATTTTTTCTTTTTTTCTCTATTACTCTAGCTAGGACTTCATGTATGATAAATAGGAGAAGTGAGAGTGAAATGTCCCATAAGGGGGAAACAATCAGTCTTTCAGAATTAATTATGATGTTAGCTGTAGGGTTTTTAAACAGATGCCCATTATCAGGTTGAAGAAATCTTCCTGTTTGTAGTTTGCTGAGTTTTTCTCATAAATGGATGTTGAATTTTGTCCACTATCATCCTTGCATTAATTGATATGGTGATGTGGCTTTCCTTCACCTCCTTAATATGGTGGATGATATTAATTGACTTTTGAGTACTGAACTAGCCTTGCATTCCCAGGATACAGCCCACTTGGTCCTGGTTGTTCTTTTTATATGTTACTTAATTGGTTTACAAATATTTTGTTGAGGATTTTTGCATTTGTGTTCATGAGGGGATATAGTCTGTTTTTTTTCTTTCAATACTGCCTTTGTGTGGTATTGGTATCAAAATAATGCTGACTTTATAAAATAAATTGGAAAGCATTTCCTCCTCTTATGTATTCTGGAAAAGATTGTATCATTGGTGTTAATTCTTGAAAAGTTTTAGAAATCTTTGATGTAATTATCTGAGCATGGAAATTTCTTTTTTGTTTGTTTGTTGGTTGATTGGTTGGTTGGTTGGTTGGCTGGTTTTTGAGAGAGAGAGGAAGGGAGAGAGAGAAACATCTATGTGTGAGAGAGAAACATTGATCAGTTGTCTCCCGCATGCACCTGGCCTGGGGACTGAATCCCCCAACCCAGATATGTGCCCTGACCAGGAATCAACCTTGTTAACCTTTCAGTTACTGGGCAACACTCCAACCAACTGAGCCACATTGGCCAGGGCTCTTTTTGAGTTTTTAAAGTTACAAATTCAATTTCCTTAATAGTTATGGGGCTATTCAAATGATCTATTTCATAGTGAGTGAGTAGTGGTAGTTATTTCTTTTCCAAGAATGGATCCCTTTCATCTCAGTTGTCAAATTTATATGGGTAGAGTTGTTTGTTTTATTACCCTTTTGAGTATGTAAAGTCTGTAGTGATATCCCTATTTTATTCCTGACACTGGTAATTTGTGGGATGTTTTTCCTATTTTCAATTTTATTGATCTTCTCAAAAACCCAGCTTTTTGTCTCATTTTTCTGTTTTGAATTTCATTGATTTCTGCCCTTATGTTTACTATTTCCATTCTTTTGCTCACTTTGGGCTTATTCGCTCATCTGCTTTCTTAAAGTGGTAGCTCAGATTATTAATTTGAGACTCTCTTCCTAAGGTAAGCAGTCACTGCTGCAAAATTTCCCTCTCAGCACAACATTATCTATGTCCCGTAAGTTTCGACATGTTATTTGTTCATTTTCATTCAGTTCAATTACCTTTGTTTAAAGATTATTTATTTATTTATTTACTTACTTAGTTACTTTTAGCAGGGAAGGGAGAGAGAAAAAGAGGGAAACATCAGTGTGTGGTTGCCTCTCACATGCCCCCACTACTGCGGACCTGGCCTATAGCCCAGGCATGTGCCCTGACCGGGAATCGAACCAGTGACCCCTTGCTTCCCACGCTAGCACTTAATCCACTGAGCCAAAGCAACCAGGGCTCAGTTCAATTACTTTTTAAAATTTCTCTTGAGCTTTTTCGTAAGCCCACGAATTGTTTAGAAGTCTTTTTTTTTTTTTAGTTTCCAAATGTTTGTAGATTTTTCCATTGTCTTTTTATTACTGATTTCCAGTTTGATTCCATTGCAATTTCATTAAGTTTCTTGAGGTTTGTTTTATGGCCTAGTACGTGTTGTATCTTGGTATATGTTCAGTGGGTGCTTGAAAGAAGTATATTCAGCTGTTGTCATGTGGACAGGTCCCTTCATGTTCATTTGATTATGGTAGTTTTATTGTTTTTAGAATTTCCATTTGTTTTATCTGTAGTGTTTTTAATATATCTTATTGTAAAACCTTTTTAGTGCTTGCTTTGGGTGTTACATTATATATATGTAATTTATCAGAACCTATTGGTGCCAGCGTTTCATCAGTTCAACTGAAGTATAGAAACTTTACATCTCGTTATCCTCTTCATTTGCATTAATTGTCTTTACTATATTTTCTACATATATTGAAAACCACATTGGTTATAACTTTTGTTTCAGTTGTCAAACATAATGTAGAGCACTTGAGAGAAGTCTGTGTATTTACTCATATTTTTGTATCTACCATGTTCTTTTGTTCTAATATTCTCAGTTTTTAGGTTTTTTAAATTACTTAATTTTTGTCTGAGGTGGAGACTAGAACTAATACTTTAGCAAGTATTTCTAGGTAATTCTTTTGATCATGCAAATTTGTGAAGCACTGAGGACAATTACTGAAACTGTGTTAGGGACAAAGAAAGGAATGTCGTCACATTGCAGACTTTGTGCTGTGGTGTGTAGATGGATGTTCATTTAAGGTATAATGCAATATAATGGCTAAGTAGACAGGAACTTAACTAGTAATTTTAAGAAATAATATGAAGAAGTTGACTTTCTGTTCTTTTTAGTCTAAAATACAAACAGTACACACTATTACTTTCATTATATGAGTAACAATAACTAATCTGAAACTAAATTCTAAAGAAAGAATGAGTGGCATAAGATTATTTGTGGAGGATTCATTGTCACCTGAACACTAAAGCACTGTAACCAAGAGCCTGCTGTGGTCATGCAGCTTTACATTGTTATACAAAACCTTTCTTTGGGGTGCTTTTATTGGGGATATTATTATTACTTGTGAGGTTGAAAAGCAGTTTCTGTAGATTTTGCATTTGTTGAAAATTTGGTGGTAACTATGGAGAATTTATTATGTTGTATGTACCTACCATTTTTTGCATGCTTAACTTTCATTACGCAAGGTGCTTTATAACTATCACTGATCAACAATTCTGTGAGGTAAACATCCTCGGAAAACTGAAGCTTAAAGAGGTTAAGCAATAACTTCACTAAGAGTACCAAACTAGTAAATGCAGTTTAAATCAGGCCTCAACTCTAACCACCCATAGTCTAAGTCTCTGTGAAAGGCAAAACTATGCAATCTAGGCATGTTTCACATACCTGGATGTTATACATTGTGCTATTGATAAGGATTCAAAAATGAATGAATGAGTGAATGATATTATTGCCCCTCCTCTTAATGAACTTATATTAGCTAAACAGCCTGGTGAGGGGGCCTTCATTGTGGATAAATTCTTGACATTTAATATGATTATTCCCTGATAAAACAATTATAGCCTATTTTACTTTATATAGTTTTTGTGTCATGAAAATTATTTTATTTTTCATTTTAAACTGCAGATTTAAGAAAGATCTGATCACCTGGAATTAAAGTTGGTACAGAAACCTTTTCAACTCCAGAAATGCTGGAGGAAGATATGGAAGTGGCCATCAAGATGGTGGTTGTCGGGAATGGAGCCGTTGGAAAATCAAGTATGATTCAGAGATATTGCAAAGGCATTTTTACAAAAGATTATAAGAAAACCATTGGAGTTGATTTTTTGGAGCGACAAATCCAGTATGTACTTAGCCATTTTATCCTCTTGGTTTTGAATTGCGAACTGTGCCCAAGACTTTACAGTCCAAGGTTAGGCTTCTAATGGCAGTGGCTCATGAGACAGTTGGTGGTGGTGTGAATTACTTTTGCTCTGTGTGTCTTTATCCTTCAGTCTCCTGCCCCGCCTTCATCTCTCTTCCCTTCCTCTCATCTGTTTTGTTTTTTTCCTATTTGCCTTCCCCATCTTTTTTTAACTTACCTTGTATCTGTTTTATATTTATTTGTGGCACTTTACGTACTTCTTCAACACAAACTGATGCTTGACCAGTGAGATTTCTACCCACTATTTTATTTTGAAGGAAAGTTCCTTGTCTATCAGAATAGTTCTCATCTCTTATATTATGGGATACTTTTGTTTAGAATATCTTTTCTCTCTTTAAAACTGGACAAGACTGTATAGAAATTAGAGAATTAAAATTTGTTTTTATTCTAAAGAAATGAGAAAAGATTTGGATTAAATACTCCTACAGAAAGGAAATCTTCAGAAAATCCAAATAAATTTTAAAACACATCAAAATAACACTTTCTGGAAAAAAACCACTTTTTGTCATTAGTCTTGACAACTTTCTAGGATATGTTAAATTGTAAGAGACAAACTAAAGTGCATTACAAAAATAAGTGACATCGGGCAAATCTGACTGAACTAGCTTGGGCATTAGCATCAAAGATAATTGTGTTTATTGTTTTAAAGATTCTTGAGTTTTTAATTTGTATTCTGTTTTTATTTTTGTATTTTCTTCCTTTAGGTATTTTAAGAAGATTCATTTTACGACTTGATGATATTTGTTTTTTGTGCTTGTTATCTGAATCAAATTAATTATTTTTTTAAATCCTTACATGAGGATACATTTATTGACTTTTAGAGAGAGAGGAAGGGAGACAGAAAAAGACATCGATGTGAGAAACATCGGTTGTTGCCTCCCATATGCAGGGATTGAAGCTGCAGCCTATGTATGTGCACTGACTGGGAATCGAACCCACAACCTTTTGGTGTGTGGAATGATACTCCAGCCACTGTGCCACTGGCCAGGCTGAACCAAATTAATATTTTAAGGATACAGTTGTCATTATTTGTGGATTCTGCATTTGTAAATTCACCTACTTGCTGAAATTTATTTGTAATCCCACAATCAATACTCCCAGTGCTTGGGTGATCATTCATGAACATGTGTAGAGCAGCAAAAAATTTGAGTCATCCTGCACACACATTCCAACCTGGGTGGAATAAGGCAACCCTCTATTTCATCCCTCATACAGTAGACAGGTGTTCTTTTAGTGTTCTGTTTTTGTGCCACATTTTTGTGCCTTTTGTCGGTGATTTCACTGCTTAAAATGCCCCGCAAGCATAGTGCTAAAATGCTGTCTAGTGATCCCAAGTATAAGAAAGCTGTGTATCATGTGTGTTACAGATAAAATATGTGTTTTAGATGAGCTTCATTCAGGCATGAGTTACAAGTCCTGCAGGCTGTAAGTTCAATGTTAATGAATTAACAACATATATTAAATGAGATGTCTTTAAAGAGAACCACATAAAAAACATTGTTATGTGTTGATCAGTTGATGAAAATATAACCAGGGGCTTGCAGGAATCTAACCCTGTATTTCTCCCAAAGAGTAATAGTTCAGTATTTGCTATTTCATTGTTTGCTGTGACTTTGTACAAAATAAGTTCAATGAGTAAGACAATGAACTATGTAACAAAATAGAGTAAATTTTTGAGTTAAAGGGCAACCAAGCAGGTAAACTACCGCTTTCCTTTCTTATTCTATTACTTGTGTGCCAAAACTTGGTGGAATGTTGTGAAGAGGAGAGCAAGCCCTGACCTGAGGGGATCCCTTTTTCCCTACTGCTAGTCTTATCGCCACCACCATCTGTGGCTGCTGTCAAAGGACACAATGTGCCAGTGAACCCAAATCCTGTGTCAAGTTATAGCTTTGGGGGAGTGTCTTTTATGCTTACTTACTTTCACTATTGGTAATTGTATCAGCATTTAAAAGCACTCAGGCATTTTCTGAGTGAAACCATCAATGTTGTTATAATACCTCCATAATTGAAAGATAAAAATATACACACAGCTATATTACTAAAGCCATTTCCTTTACATACGAAACAAATTCATCTCTTGTTTCAGAGTTAATGATGAAGATGTCAGACTCATGTTATGGGATACAGCGGGTCAGGAGGAATTCGATGCAATAACAAAGGCCTACTATCGAGGTAAATTATGGCATTTTTGTTTGGGCATGTTCTTTTAGCTAAACAAAGAATTTTGGGGGTTTTTTGTTGTTGTTTTCTGTAAAAAGGGTTTTTTTTTTTAAGAATACTTAAATTATTTTCAAAGTATTTTTTACAGTGCCAGGTCATTATTCTTCTAAAGATCCTTGAGTGGTGACTAATACTTTGCTCTATGGACCGGAAATCTCTGCCTTTAGAATTATATGACTAGGTATTCACAGACCTAATCAGTCAGAAACTGTTAAATTCCTACTCCTGACCCCAAGGAAGTGACTACATAGTCAGAGAGTGGAGACTCTCATATGAAAAGGTGAAGTCCCTGCAAACAGGATTGACATTCAGTTACGGCACATGAGAGTTCATGGGTAAAGCCTTTTCAGTGCTGCAGAAGTTTAAAGTGTGAGATACATGTGAAAGGAAAGGACTACCCTTCTAGGATTTAAGAATCTAAAATGCAGGGTTAAATTCCTCAAGAAATGCTTAGATCCCAAAGTTTCCATTACATTTTCCTATAAAATTTTGTCCTTTTTTTAAAATTTAAAACAGTATTTTAGTGTTTCTCCAACTCACTGCCAAGGTGATTATAATGAGAGCAAAGTCACTGAAAGCTTAACTTAGTACCATGTAGGGTACAACCTATTGGTGCTTCTGAACTCGTGTATCTTGTTTTTTTCCACTTTGGAAAATCTGGGATTTATTATAATGCAACTGAGGTCTAATTACACTAACATATAAGCCACCAAAGGTTCTTTTCTAAATTGGTAACAAGGAAAATCGACTTTCACTGCCTGCTCTAGGAAGACATCTGGTTCTTGGAGAAATAAAAGAGGTACATCTCTCAGGTGTCATCTTAATAATGCCTCCACTCCTCACTGCTCGTTCTGTTTACTGTGTCCTTCAAGGCTTCCCTTCTGCAGCAGCTTTGAGTATGGCTGTGCTGTGGGTGCCAGTTTGGATCTTGAGCACTTGTGTCACGGTGTAAGGTGAAATTATGTTCTTACTCCCCAAGACTCTTAAAACAGATAGTATTCTGATCAAATTATGAATTTCATGAGCATTTACACTGTTGATTAATGAGTCCTCAATGTACTGTTTATTCCTGAGTAAAGGTTATTTGTATTTATTTAAGTGGGGTTATTATCACTACAACTGCATAGGAAAAACACAAAAAACAAGGTGGAAACATTAACATATGGTAGGAATGCATATAGTTGTCATTATTTTCTTTTTACCTACCTACCAGCTTTTTTCTCTAAAGTGTTGCAATGAAATACATGATCTTGTTGTGAGAAAAAAATAGGTTGGGCTATTTCTTTTTAAACTTTTGACAACATGATATGGTAGTATTTTTAAATGAGTATCTTATTTTTGGAGACTGTATTTATTGTTTCTTATCTGGTTTAAAAAACAAACAGCCCTGGCTGGTGTGGCTCAGTGGATTGAGGATCGGCCTGTTAACCAAGGGGTTGCTGGTTCGATTCCCAGTCAGGGCACATGCCTGGGTTGCAGTTTCAGACTAGTATAGATTCTTAGTCTGGGTGTGTGTGAGGGCAGCTGGTCATGTTTCTCTCTCTCCCTCCCCTCCTCTTCTCTACCCCTCTTTCCCTCTATCTCTCCCTGCTCTTCTCTTTAAAATCAGTAGGTATGTCCTCAAGGGAGGATTAAAAAAAAAAGCTTTTCTTAAAATGTTAAAATGGCAAAGAAGGTGGACTGAGATAGGTTTTCAGAATAAATATTTGTTGCATCTCAATTTGAATTAAGGACCAAACAGTGGCCATTATACATAAATTTGAGAAATGGCACATTAAACATTCTTTTGAAGCTTTCCTTTGAGGTTCCATCATGATACTTTTGGTTGCTGACAACAGAAAAGCAATTTCAATCTGACTTAAACTACTAAGGTTAATTGACTTATTTAATAGAAAAGTGGAAGTAGCATAGCTTTCAGTTCTTCTGACTATAACCATTTGTTCTCCTGGCTTGCCTCCCTCCACGGGTCGGCTTCCTCCTCTGCTGATTTTCTTCTTGGTTGCAAGGTTGCTACCATCAGCAGTGGAAGCTACTTAGTTTTCACATCCTTGTGGAGAGAGAGTTGCTCCCCACAACAGTGGATCAAAAGTCCTAAGCTTGTATCTGATTAGATCACCCTTGACTAGATTACAGTAAATAGAGGATTGTGATTACCCTAATTGGCTTGGTGCATTTAGAGACTCAACTCCCAGAGCAGAGGGTACATTTAGCCTGGCTAAACCGTGGTTGAAGTACAGTGGGGAGAGATGTTCTCAGGAAGGGAGGTGAGCTGGGGTGTCAGTTAGGCAACCAGGTAATATTTGCAACTAGTGTAGATTCAGATGATCATGTAATTAAAGAGGAATAAGGACTAGGAAAAGAAGGAACGGGCTAGGAAGCATGAATTAAGATACGGATATAGTGGGGAAACACAGTGCTTTATGAAGTTATGACTGACTGGTTTATGTCCTACAAGTATATTATTCAGGAAGCATTAAAATGTTGTAAATTTTGTTTTTAAAAAAGAAAAATTTAACTATAATACATTTAAAAGACCTGTTATACCAAAAACCATTGCTCAAAGGCATTCTTATGTTTTTGGAATGCTGGCGTAATTGTTCAGTGAGACATGTTGAAACACAACCTCCTTGTAAATAGGTTAGAACAGAGCGCAGATCATACTAGGAATCCTCTTGGGGTCCCAAATTATTTCTCTTAAGCTCTTAAAGAAGTCTAACCTAGACATAGAACCCATACTTAGAACAGAAAGTTACATATAACATAAAATAGGTTTTCATTATACTTTTTTACTGTGCTTGGTTCTAAGAAAAAGATGCTTCTTTCTAGCAACATACAGAAATGAAGTTATAGACTTAAGACCTGTTATCTAAGATCATGCATATAAATGGAAGGAAACCCTGGTTTATAAAAAATGCTTTCGCAAACAATATAAATTATTGGAAATGAAATAGCTCTGGACAAGAAGCTGTTTATAAAAGTGATAAGTGCAAGAATTAGGAACAACAATTAGGCTGCGCAAGTCTCTCAGATTTGTTTTGAAATTGTATGAGCGGGGAATCTGTGATAGATTGGTTCAATGAATAATTTGTATGTTTTAGGTTATATAAAGTGTCTACGAGAATAAAGGACAAACGCTTTAAATCTAGAGCAATATCTGTAAAAGTACATAAAGCCTTGCTTTCTGACTGGTCTTTGCCATCGTCAGATCTGATGCCGTGTGCCCCAGAGCAGTGTTTCTTCCATTTTATGTGCAAACAAACCCCCAGGGAGCTTGTTCAAGTGCAGAGGCTCATTCAGTAGCTCTCAGGGAGGCTCCGTGAGAGTCTGCATTTCTACAGCCTTCCGGGATGCTGGTGCTGCTGGCCTTCACCTATACTCAGAACAAGTCTAGAGACCATCTTGCAGGGTCTTTCAGTTACTCAAGAATAAAATTACTCTCTATACATAATACGTCTTGCGGAGTATTTTCTGAATTGCATTCAGAAATATTAACATTTTTTAATGATCTTATCAATTAGAAATAAATATTTGCTATTGGTGGTCTCATACTTGACACCAAAAATTTATTTTGATCTTCTTTTCCTGATGTGTGGATAATGGGGTAGTTTGTTAACTATTAGAAGTGGTTCCTTTGTGGGTGGTTTACTGGCATTTATGATGATGAAGTAACTTTTCCAACAGTGTGATTTTTAGGGAAGTATAGAGGGAAGAAGATTGAATAGTAGGAAAATAAAGGTTTATGTAAAATATATGGATAGAAAAACACCTGCTGTCTTTAAATATCAAAGGCCTAAGATGTGTTTAAATGACTACAACTGAGAAATGAAAACATTGACTTTCCTAAGGATAGCTGGTACCAGCACAGAACTGGAAGTCAAGGAAGAAAAAGAAAGGATAACAGTGCAGGGTCATCTTTGAATTAGGAATATTTATAGTAGTTAGTATGTTGAACAGGACACAGCTTATGAAGTTACCGAAATGCAACTTTTTTTTTTGTTTCTCACCATCCTTTTATATTTGATTACACAGTAGGAGGAAATGAATTCTTCTTGACCCTCAATAATAACCCCTTCAGCTCATGTCTTTTTTGGTTACTCTCCAGTAATTCCTTCACTTGCCTCATAGTTATTTCTAGTGATGAACATGATCTCAATTTGGTAATTAGAACAGCCAGGCCTGTATATTAATCAAAACTCCAAATGTAATTGAGTGTTAAATCTCTTACCCTCTCTGGGACTTTACCAGGCCAGTACCTGTAGTTTGGGAAGGGAGTGCGGGCAGCTTTCCTCCTCCGACTTCCCTTCCCTAGCTTGTCAGAGACGCTTCTTTATGCTCCTGGCTCATCCCAGGGGAAGACCACATTGGGAGACAAGAACACTGGTGGGTGCTGCTCTCTGATGGTGGGGCTTCTGGGTGGCAGATGTTTGAAGATGATACTCTAGGAAATTGTGCTGGATTCCTCCAAGGTTCCCATTGTTGGGGATGTTTCTTCAGGGCAAATGTATACTTAATTCAGCAGTTGCTCTGCCTCTTTGTGGGACTCAGCATTCCACCTTCCTTCGTGCTTAGCTCTCATCACCTGACAGATGGCCCTATTGGACATGATTTAAAATTACCCCATGCCTGCTTATCTCTTAGATGTGGCTCCATACTTGTGGACAGTTTCTGTTTATTCTTTGTTTTGCTATCAGTGGGAACACAGTTACCCCAAAATGCAGCTATCTTCTTTTTTGTCTGTTGGTCTTGTCTTTTCACTCTTGCTCCCAGCAACTATGTCTTAGGCTTGAATCAAGGCAGGATCAGTCCAGAGTGTCCCTCAGTTGCTGGAAACACATATCAAGCTCCTTAAGTGGTCTGCTGAAATCCATTCCTGCCAGGTTGAGTTGGAGGAGGTAATGGTAATATTCCACCGCCATCTGTTACTTAACAGAAAGGGGGGTTTGCTGCCCACTGTCACCAATAGGCAAATTCTAGAGGCAGAGGTTTGGTGAAAAAGGAAAGGGGTTTTTTATTCAAAAACTGCACAATTTGGAAGAATGGCAGGCTTCTGTCTCAGAGCCCTTGAACTCCAGGAAACCCAAAGAAAACCCCCCACCACCCTCTGTCAGATCTCCCACTTAAAAATACTGCCCTTTGGGAAACCACAGGTGGCCAGCAGACACAGTCATCAAGTAGCTCAGCTTCTTTTGCTTCAACTGTCTGGCCTCAGGCTCCTTTCAGTAGTCTGTGTGCCCGGCAGGCCCGGCTGGCTGCACTGCCACTTCCTGCACTGGGGGTCCAGGACCACTGCCAAATGCTGGGGCTGGCTGTGCAGGGCCTCTGTAGGGCCTGCCACCTGGTTACACTACTTCCAGGGCCCTCTGGTCTGCAAGCACTTTGGCCCAAATGTCCATGCTGGAAATGGCAGAGGAAGAGATTCTCCCTTCCCTCCATTTAAATCTACCAGCGCACACTTCTGTGGGCTCAGAGAGGGTCCAGCTCCCCCAGCCAATCCTGCCCTTTTCCCAGGCTGTACTGACTATTCTGCACCTCCTGCTGCCACCTCGTTAACCTTTATGGTACTCATGCTGCTATGACCTTTGTTTTTCCCTTCAGTCTGGTACTGGAAGGAGTAGGAGGGCCTTTCCCTTTGTCCATGGCTATCTTGTGTACCTGGGGAATGCAGCCTGTTCCACACACACGAGACCCCTCCCCTCTGCTCCCGGCACCTCGAAGGTATCATATCTAGCCCACCTTCTTGAAAGAGAGAAGAGTTGGGGGTGGATAGTATTTTCTCTACAGAAATCCTTTAGAAATCTTTTTCTCTTCTCAATTCTTGAAAAAAAAATTCTTGTAGTTCTTGAGGGACTTCCAAAGTTGTGTCGGAGTTATAGCTATTTCTTTTGTAAATTCTGTAAATGATGATCTTCTTACACACATTTTGCAATCTGTTATTTGTCACCTGTTTTATTGGTGCCTCAACCAAAAAAGCCCTTTATTAGACAGGGATTTTTTTGTGTGGCTCTTCAGACTTTTCCTACATGTAAAAGGACCATAATGCATTGTAATTTGACAGGATATTTTTTCTATGGGTGGATAATTTTAGTTAGGGGTAATTAAGACAAATAGTTGTCCAACATTTGTCAGAATTATTATAACTGCAAATGTAGTGCAGGTTGTCTGTTTTTGTTTTTTGTTTCATTTTGGTAATATATTTAGGTTAAATAAGATGAGCTGGGTGCAGCATTCAGTCTGAAGGCTTAGTATCAAGTGAACCATCCTGCTCCAGAGATTTGTGTGCCATTTATTCTGAAGATTATAATTATTCTTGCTATAACTTATTTCTGTCATCTCATGCAGATTTTATATTTTGTAGGGGTTTTTTGCCTCCCATCACCCCTCCAAGGAGACACACAAAGCAATTCTTGGCACAACTAGGTGAGGGTAATTTACTGGGGAAGTTATCCAGGAAGTAGAAGTGAGAGACTGGGGAAAGAAGGAGAAAAGCATGAAGAAGGTGTATTAATGAGCTACTTAAAACTAGGCAGTTGGGGGTCAATCCTAATAGGCAGACCTCAGAATGGTCCTACCAAAGTGAAGCTCATGCATTGATCCCATCCCCCGTAAAGTGAAGCTTCCTTCAGAAGCATCCGTTCCCCCTAGAGGATTCAATAAACCTGGGTCGCTTCTAAAACATCAGAAAAAAGAGGGCCAGCTGCAGCGTATGCCCCAGTAGGACACTAGCAAAGGCAGGAAGTGTCTGCACAGCTACAGCGACACCAGGGCTGAGGGGACAGTAGCAGGTCCTCCATCATCTGTTATGTAGGTGGTTATTTGCCTCCCTTAATACTCACACATATCAATATTGTATGTTCCGCCTCTTCTGACAGGTACTTCCACACACTCCCACATTCCTTTGGTCTCTCCCTGCTCAGGACCCCACTAAATAATTTGGGGGTTATGGATATACTTTTTCTTTTATCCTTTGGTCCTTAATTTTGAAAACATTGTGTTTTTCTTAATTATCTTTGCTGCCCATATTTCTGGCAGTATCTGCATAGTTTTTCTTTTTGTGTTTTTTAAAATTATGTACTTCTTCTAAGGGTTTTTTGTTTTTTTGGTTTTGAAGTGGGTACCTGAAAAATACCTTATTTAACCTTCCAAAATAAATGGCAGTTGGTTAGATATAAAATTCTAGGTTTAACACTAACAAATAGTTTTATAATAAAACTTAGTTAAGTAGAAGTTAAAGTATGATTAGATAATGTTTTTGTTTGTAGTTTAAGTAAATATTACAGTTCAAGTAAATATAAATTTATTTATCAATACACTAGTGACCTCATCAGTTTTATTCCTCTTTCAATTTTGATAGTCTCAGGGTATATCTGCCGTTCTGTCTTCCCCTTACACGTTTCGTATAATTAATTTAATCTTGGGTTTAAAACGTGTCCAGATTAGGGAACAGATGAAGCCCCTGCTGTTAGGGTAATACTGAACTGCTAATTTCTCTTTCATCATACGCTCTTTTGCTTTCTATAGTATTCCCTCTGGTGATAAACAAACCTCTTTTGGCTTTAAGAGTGTCTTAGGGTAGCCCAGGCCTGCCTGTCTGAGTCCTCCTAGGAAACTCTCACACCTGAGTGGTCTGGAAGGAAAGTGGAACAGCGAGAAAACACGCCTTCCTCCCAGGAAATCCTCTGGACCTCAGGGCAGCTTTTCTTGTCACCTACACATCTGCTTTTGTCACAGCTAATCATTTGTAAGAGAGCTTCTCCCAGAAGGTTGCTGCTTATATTTTATTTTAGATAATTATCAACCTAATGTGATAGTTGATAAGCAAAATATTGTCCATGAATATAGAATGGGAATTACACATTTAAACAGGGTAAAAAACTAAAACTTTTCCTTGTCTGTTGTGTATTGATTCTCTTTTGTCATTGGTTCTTCAATGATGTTCATTAGCATCATTGGTATTCTACTAAAATAATACTTGTATAGTTTTTTAAAAAGTAAATAGGATGAGAAAATTATTACTTTTTTCTCAGATTTTTCTTAAATCTGTGCTCAAAGAAACTAAAAAGCAAATGACAAACACAGGTCCAGCAGAAGTAAGGCCTGCTGCTGAGTGTGGCTGGCAGGGTAATGATATGGGTGTAACAATTTATAGTTTAATTTGAACATTTCACCTGAAATGCCATTTGGTGTGCTTGAGTGTGATATTGTCATGTTACAGAATTACATGCTTATGACTTTTTAATGAAAGATTTTGTTATTTAAAAGGGGGTGTTGTTTGTGCTGGGCCCTGTATTACAGGAAGAAGGTAGCGAGTGCCTATCACTCATCCTTAGTTCACCATTCTCTCTGGTTCTTAAACTATAACTAAACATATCAGTATTTCGTGCTGTCCCCCACAAAAGGTATATAATTTCAAGGGTACTTTAAAATTTGTACAAGTTTGAGAACTACTGCTCTTGGTAAAAGTTGGTTCTTTGAATTAGAAAATGGTTTATATGTTATAAAAAAAATTAGCAGAGTGCTAAGTGATGAACTCAGTATTTATTTACATAAAAATTATTGTGACAGGTAATAGTTATCCTCACCCTGCATAGGATTGTTTCATTAATATAAATAACATTTTTATTTTGTGACCTTACAGGAGCCCAGGCTTGTGTGCTTGTATTTTCTACCACAGACAGGGAATCTTTTGAAGCAATTTCCAGTTGGAGAGAGAAAGTAGTAGCTGAAGTTGGAGATATACCAACTGTACTTGTACAAAACAAGATTGATCTCTTGGATGATTCTTGTATAAAGAAGTAAGATGGCTGCTTTTGAGGGGGTGGTGATAGCTCTATAAAGTTGAAAGTTATTTTAATTTTTGCATAGATTTACAAAATTTAAGGAAGTTTGTATAAAGAGTTCCTTACTGAGAGCTCATCTTTATGATTGGTTTGGTTTAAAAAAGTTTATACTGAATCATAAGTAGAGAAAAATTAAAGGAATAAAATTTGAAGGCTCTTTTAGAATTCTTGTTTCAGGTCTTTATACCACAAGTCCAGTTATTTTAAGTCAAATCCAGATATAGTAAAAATATTAAGAAAAACATTCTTATATATAGTAAGAATGTTAATAAAATGCTTTAATATAGAGTAAGTAGTGTCCTATGTTGATGAGTTTAAATAGATAAGTAGTATAGATTCATATTGTTTTGTATATTCACAACTGTTATGCTCTAATTTGTGAACACAGCTTAGCATCCAAATAATTTTTTATAAGTATTTGCTCGCTGTATTATTAAAGTGTTGCTAGCTTTAAAAATCTTTGCTTGGTTTTTACCTTATTGTTTTATGTTCTTATGTTATCTGTTGCCATATTAACAAATTAGCCTAAAACTTAGTGGCTTAAAACAACAGCAAACAGTTATTATTTCAGTTTCTGTAGGTCAGGAATTTGTGGTGTCCTGGGGTGGTTCTAGTTCAGAGGTTTTCATCAAGTTTCAGTCAAGATGCCAGTTAGGCCTAAAGTCAGTCACAGAAAGGCTTGACGGGGGCAAGGGGGCCCATCTGTGTCCAGGATGGTTCACTCACGTGGCTGTTGGCAGGGGCCTTAGTTCCTTGCCAGGTGGATGCTCTCTGGCCTTCCCCAGCAGGCGGTCCAAGAGAGGGCAAAGCAGAAACCACGTGTCTCCTGTAACCTCGTCTCAGAAGGCACATACTATCGCTTGTGTATATTATTGATCACATAAACCAACCTTGATTACAGTGTGGGAGGAGACCTCACAACAGTGTGAAGACCCAGAGAGCAGGGGTGGGGCAATGCAATGGAATCATTGGGAACCATTTTGGAGCTTAGCCACTACAGTCGTAATGAAACCAGGAGTCCACCGTCAGGAGTCGTAATAAAGTAAATCAGGGGTTCGCTCTTGTGTAGAGACAGTCATTCCTGTGTGGATTTGGACTTTGGCAGCAAAGCAGTTTCATAACTAGTAAGTAAAATAAATAATGAAGTGTATAATTTTCAGAGTGTAAATTCAAATGTTTCTAAAAACAGAAGAGAGAAAACTAAAGTACTCATAAAGAAAAGTGATATTTCACTATTTTAAGGCTAGAGTTCAGTGACTTTGTAGAAAAATGTCTGTTTATAGTTATAGTATAATGTTTGGTGTGTATCCCCCCAAAGTAGTGAAAACTGAAAACCCTGTTCCAGCACTGAGGGCACAGCTTTAACGAGTCTGGGGGTCTGCTGCCCCCTCCCCAGGCTGTGTCAGTAAATGTAATAAAAGTGTTCTTAAAAACTAGTTACCAGAAAGTACCTCTATAAGCATTTTTTTTAATTGATGTATAGCGAGGAAGCTGAAGCACTGGCAAAAAAGCTAAAGCTGAGATTCTACCGAACATCAGTGAAAGAAGACCTAAATGTGAATGAAGGTAAACTGCCTTTTTTTAAAAATTAACAGGAAATTTGTTTTAGTTTTCTTACTACTTTGCTATTGTGTTGTTTAGAAAACATTTATAATAAGAATAGAATTTTCTTGACACCTACCATGAAGAAAAATTTAAAGATACAATGCCTCTTTGAGTTAGTTTGTAATTATTTACTAATGTCTTGAAATACTTATTGGTCTACAGCAAAACCCTGGTTTTTGTTTTGTTTTCTTTAATATAACTGTGTGAGTGTGTATGCATGTGTGTTTTTCACGTGTACCTCTTAACATTACTGAATTTCCTTAGAACTCCACAGTAGTGGGTATTCCATTAGATAGTCACAGTGACCTTAATTTGTTCACTAATATTTCCTACTTTAAGAAAGTGAGAGTAGAGAGAGATGATTATTATTTTTCTCATTCCAAAATTTCTACTTTTATTACATAACAACTAGATTGTTGGTCAGGTATCTTCTGGGTAGTATTTTTTTCACTTAAAGAAATGAAACATCTTTTCAAAACTAAGTCAAAACTAAGTTGAGCCAGTGATTACAAATATTATTTCATTTCTTTATTAATAAAAGGCCATTATCTACTTGTTAGTATTACTATTCATTGTACTTAGGTATTACTCAAATAAATTTTAAAAGTTGAATTTTTCAACTCAGTTGTATACTTCTAATTATAATTTAAATTTGTTTAGTAAAAATAAATATTACAGTAAATGATGTGAAATAACACATTTTGCTTGTATAAGTCACACTGACCTGTTAGGGTTTTTGTTCTTGTTTTTATTCTAGTTTTTAAATATTTGGCTGAAAAATATCTTCAAAAACTCAAACAACAAACAGCTGAGGATCCAGAATTAAGGCATTCAAGTAGTAACAAAATTGGTAAGTATACAGGATATTTTATGCCCATATTTACCTATAGTAAATTTATTTTCCATTCATTATGATCATGCTTACTATTTTTTAATACACTGTGCTCATTTAAGAGATGTGATTAGAAAGTATTAGATCAGTGATTATTCAGGAGCATCAGGTCTCTTACTAAAAATACATCGATTCCCATTATGGAAAACATTAGATATAGGATCTCTTCATTCCACTACTTAGACAGTTTTGCCCACCATTATACATGTACCCCTTTTACCTGTTCCACCATATGTCTTGCTCTTTCTTGAATATGCCCCGTGCTGTTCACTTTTGCTCATTTTGGTTCTTCCATCAAGAAGGACCTCTCTGTCCTGACTGGTGTGGCTCAGTTAGTTGGGCATCGTCCTGCAAAGCAAAAGGCTGCGGGTTCAGATCCTGGTCAGGGCACATGGCTGCATTGTGGGCCCAGACCCTGGTTGGGGGCATGCAAGGGGCAACTGATCGATGTTTCTCTCACATACCTATCTTCCTCTCCCTTTCTTTCTCCCTCCTTCCCTTTCTCTCTCTAAAAATAATTAAATCTTAAAAAAAAAAAACAAAACAGAATGATCTCCCTTTCCCATCTTCTGTCAAAAAACTATTCTTTCCTCATGGCTATGTAGAAAGCTCACTCAGCTGTATAGCTGGCCTCATTCTTCTGTTTTAAAAGAACAGAGATCTAAGTCCAGGACATTGCTAGTTGTCTAGTTCCATCTTCTCCACGTAATTCCTCCTTTCTTACAAAGTAGATGTAATTGGTCCTTCCTTTGAACCATCTATGGGATCTTGTGTCTCTCTTATGGCACTTTACATATAATATCTTATAGCACTACTTTGTGTACAAACTCATCTCATTAGATTGTAAATATCTTTTTTTTTTAAGATTGTAAACATCTTATGGGCAGAATTGGTCATGGTCATCTTTGAATCATTGATAGTGTCTGTGGCCCAGATACTTTGAATCATCGATAGTGTCTGTTTTGTATTTATCAATAGCTCATAAGGACCAGCACAGTTCCAAAAGGAAACTATGATGGTTAAAAGGCTTTTTAAAAATTCATTCCTTTTATCTACTCATGACTTTAATTATCTGTAGACCATTTTGTTGGTTATTTTAGTTTGGATAGGAAAATCCTGCATTACTACCAGCTTTTACGTGTGTAATATTGTGGGGGCAACTTTCCTCAAAAGTCCCCACAGTTGCTACGGATGAAAGTGAATATGAACCGAGACATGATGTGATCTGCTTAGGGAGGAGAAGTGAGCAGTGGCCAGTTTCTCTGAGGAGAAAAAGGCCTCGAGCCCCCTCCTCTAGAACCTTTTATTGGTTCTAGAATAAACACAGGAATACAGGGGGGCAAGGATCAAACAGTAGATGACATTTCAAAGAAATCTGAAGGCTTACTAGAGTCAGAGTTTGTTAGGAACAGAGTTTTAGGGTTTCCTGCTTGAAGCCTTAATATATGAATGAAAGCACTCTTAGCAGAGCAGATTTCACAGGTTTATCAGCAAGTCTTTGTAATGCCAGATTTTCCCCCAGGACACACTCCAGCAAGGCAAGGAGCTGCACCCCTCCCCAACAGGTATTCAGGCTTAAGGGGATTAGAGCCAGGAAGCCCTTCTCCCAGAGGACATGGGGACTCGGGCTTTGGGCTTTGTCAAAGAGGGAAGGGGGACGAGAGTCCATTGCTCTTTTTGCAGCCCCCAGGTCCTTCCATGAAGGCCTCCCAAGTGATCGAATCTGGCTTAGGTTGCCCCCCTCCTCTTACTTATCAATGACTTCCGACCAAGCTTTGGGGGCAGGGAGAGGAAACTGAGGCAGTGCTTGCTACTAGAGACAAGCTTTGTCTCCTGCTGCTTGGGTTGTTCCTCACCCTTAGCCACAAGGGGTGGAGATACAACTCCTAGAACCAGGCAGAGCGGTCTACAACATAATACTTTTATTAACGTAAAATTTCACGAACAGTATTGTTAACTACAAATCATGTCTACATATGCATAAAATATCTTTAGAAGGAGACATAGGAAAACATGCTGCATCGGGAGAACCATGGGTAGGGGAGGGTTAGGATGGAAAGGAAAACTTTGAACCAGGTGTATTGGCTAACTAAAAATAAATGAAGTGAAGACAAAAACTTAGAATTGTAAATACTTGGAAATATTATTGATCCACCAAGAAGCTGGATGCAGTTTTCAGTAGGTGGCCCTGAGGCATATCAGTGCTTATCCCTGTGTCTCCTTCAATTTGTTGCAGGTGTCTTTAACACTCCTGGTGGGAGTCACTCGGGCCAGAATTCAAGTGCCCTCAATGGTGGAGATGTCATCAGCCTTAGACCCAACAAACAGAGGACCAAGAAAACCAGAAATCCTTTCAGCAGCTGCAGCATTCCCTAAAATGCTTTAGGCAGTAACAAATTGTGCAATTCCACAAGAACTACTCAGTACGTCAAGCTGTCATGGTATTACAAGTGTTTTTTAGCAGACGTTGTGTGGCTCTCTGGATGTTGACAGCCTTAAATATGGATCTGCAGTGCTTTTCAGGATGGAGTAAGATCTTTGGTGGAAAAATTACTGCCCTAGGGACTCATTTTTAATTTTTTTACATTAGACGAAGCTTCTCCTGTTTTTGAGGGAATACTGTGAGATGTCCAAAAAAAACAGGTTTTGCTGACTTTTAAATGCTGGAAAACATAAATGAAATATCTAAATATATTGCTATGGATTTTAATGTTATGGGTCAAGGAAAGATAGCAAGCATTCTTTTTCTGAAATTGGTCATCTAACTTTTCTAGAAAATAGTATTGAATCCAGATACTTACAAAAAAAACCATAGAAAGGTAAATGCTAAGCCTTGTCCAACTGCGATGTTACTTGTGCAATAGCTGTGTAATGTGGAAGGTGGAGGTCTGTATGCGGATGCTTGGTACTGGAGTAAATGGGAAGTGTGTGCAGTATTTACGGAAACAGACTCTGGTTCATTCATTCATAGAACCCCTTACACATTGTGTGTATGTTGAAAGATTTTATTTTCAATTAAGAAATTCCAGACATATTTTGCAAAAGAGAAGTGCTTTGTGCCAAAATATCATATCTAATTTTTACAGTGCTTTACTGGCAGAATTTATATTGTTTATGATATCTTTTAAAAGCAGTTTTCCTCTCTGACAGGATAGGTAAAAGAGGAGTATAACTGTTTTAGTGCTAGAGCATCTCCCAGGTGAGATACTTTGCAAACTCCTTCTCCTGTGTCCCTGCAGAAGGAGGTCCTTAGGCAGAGCGCATCTGCGGTTCCTCCTCTGGGCTGGGAAGTGCGGTGGTGCTTCCCGTGCCTCTGGCTGCTGACTGAAAATGCCATTTTGAACTTCTAGGATTATGTTAACAATTTTCTTAAGTGCACAAGAGATGATCTGTCGTAATCCACATTATGGATTCTATAAATGCCCTGTAACTGTAAAGCATCTTTTTGTTTACACATTTTTGTATGGTATTTTAAGATGATCACTTACACATTTCTATAACCTTTGATTTTTACAGCACTTTCTTGAGACCTCTGCCAGGACCAAATATAAAATAATTTCTTTTAATAAATAATTTTAGTATGTATCATGTGGCAGAGCATAAATGTGACTTGAGACATTAGCTTTTCAACTAAGATAATTGCATGAACTCTGTTAAAACTAATTATCATTCATCGATGATTTTGTTTTTGACCCCTTACAATATACTTGGTTTTTACAGGATTTTGGAAGATGTAAAATAACTTTCCTTGGAAAATGTGCTATAATGTCCTTTTTCATTATTTGTACTAAATGCATAATGTTTTATATATTCCTTTTGTATGTTGTCTCTCTTTGTTGTCTAAGTCCTCCATCTGCACCACTCTCATCCCCTGTCCAGACCAATGCTAAGGACCTAGTAGAGTTTTCTGGGCATGTCCGTGTTAAGTCAAGAGTGGACGTTTGGTGGATGTTTGCTTTTCACAATACTGAAATGATCTGGCACTATACATTTCAAAGTAATATAACATGTTTATTTTTATGTCACCGGTTGTCACCGCTCCCGTTGCCGGGCAGGTGCTGGGCAAAACTCCTGACGATGGTGCCTGCTAGTGATTCGTCTTTCCTTCCCTGCTCTCTTCAAATACAACTCTCTAATTTTTGCACAAAATGTATTTTGAGTTTTTTGGTTTTCAGTAGCAGAAAAATCACATTATGTAATATGTTGTAGTTGTACTTCATGTTAATTAAATGTGTGTTGGTAAAAGTTTGTTACTGTTCTATATAAAAAATGTAATCTCTGATGGTTGCAGTTCCCGATATTTGTAATACAATTTTATGTACTTAGTTTTGTCATTTCTTGCAAGAACTGAAAGAAACCTTTGTAACACATTTGAATTTTTAATTTGCACTTCTGTATTTTAAATCTAACCATAATTAATCATTTAAAATAATTAAGTAGGCCTGAAAATCAGCCACTAGTGATAATGTTAAATACATCACAATTTAATTAATTCCAAAACCTGAATTGACATTAGTTTTCCCCCCTGAGACCCTTAATTTTTTAAAATAAGTTTACTATTAATTTCTAATGAACCGTGGTTGCTGAAGAAAACTTGTCTTAAGCTCCAGTATGTTGTAAATTTGTGTTCTTACGGGTTTTTTTTACATTGTGGCTGATTTTTAGCAGACAGACATACAGCTCTGTGATAATTGCCATATATCAAAATTCCTGAGGCTCCTTTTCCTATTTCAAGCTGCCTATTAAATAAAATAGTATATTGAATAGCCCATGCAAAGCAATATAGTTAAATAAAACCAGGCTAAATGGTTTTCTTTTCATCTGCCCAAAGTTGATAGCATGCATGTAGTTTTTATAAATAAAGTAAAACTAACATTACCGAAAAGAGGATGGACAGACACCTTTCCTCACCGTGAAGTGAAGTTAGATGGCGGTTTCAGAAGTCAGCAATATGGGGCTGGAGAGAGCACTCATCAGTGCGCTCCACAGAGCCGGGGCTTCTAGGGACTGGGGTCTTTCCTGAAAATCTTAGGATGGAGAGTTGGCCTCAGGGCCTAATGTCCCAACTTTAAAAAAGTGAACTACTTTATTGTAAACGGTTAATTTGATAGAATCCTTCTCAAAACCTTCGAAATAGTTAACTGGTAATTTGCTAAAGTGCTCCCATTACTGTGTATCTGTTTCTCTGAAAACAAAATGAACGGTAAAAATTTGTTCCACGTTGCACAACATAATGAACAGGTAGATTTATTCAGTTTTAACTTTTAGTTACGATTATGAACATCACCTGTGCTGTTCCCACTCTTTAGGTTTTCACCCTAAAACATGTCAGCCTATCATGTAGGTGAATTTATTTGCTAAGAGAAAATGCTTAAAAGGACAGTGGACTCTGAAATGTCCAATTACCTAACTCCCAGGTGATTGGATGGTTTAGCTGTAATAACCTTTATTACTACTACTTTTCTTCTCTTTCTTGAAATATCTATATTAGGATGTTAGTAAATTGTCTCAAAAATAAAACTTTGTATTAAAAGGAAAGCTCAACTCCTATATTTTTGTTACTACTAAATAATGCTTTTGTAAATTTGGATGGAACACTACTTGTATGTATTGCTGTTGGGTTGCAATTATGCCCTTGAGCTTAATTTAAAATATACTACTTAATAAAAATTTCATGGAAGATAAATTCCAATAATAAAATATAAATGCATTTCATAGCTTGACTTTTGTGTGATATGTATCACCAGTGTGGAACCAAACTGTAAAAGGTATTAATGTGACTTCCTTAAAAACCAAAATAGCTTGGGACTTCCGCCAAGATGGAGGCATAGGTGCATTTGCCGGGCCTTCTCACGCAACCAAGTTTAGAGACAACTAAATATTAGACACAGAAAACACAGCCAGAACACAGAATATTGAACTTTTCGGAATTCTGTTAACAACAAATTCTTCAGCCTGACCGGTAAGGGGCGAAACCAGCAGCTGGTGGAGCGGGGTTGCACAGGAAAACTCAGTCAGACGGACTCAGGCGCGCGGAATCCAGGCGCAGGGTTGGACCTAGTGAGCAACCAAGCGAGCCACCGCGGGGAAACAGCGAGGGAGCAGGGCTGCGGGTTGACTGTGGTCGCGCCTTTGTGCGCGGATAGACAAGCAAGTGAGTGGGCGATTGGACCGGAACCCAGCAGGTCCCCAAAGCAAGCTGCAGGAAGGGTGCCCCCATTTCCCTGCTCTGACCCCACCTCCACATGCAGCATCGTAACCCAGCGACTGAGTGGCCCGGCCCTGGTGAACCACCTAAGGCTCTGCTCCTCTCCCAGTGGTGCAAAACAGCAGAGGGCGCCGCCATTTCCCCGCTCTGACCACGCCCCCACATACAGCGTCACAACCCAGCGACCTGGGAATCTAAGGCACCGCTTCTCACACTTAACAGGGCGAGAACAGACCAAAAATGGTCACAAGATCTCAAAGCCCCACAGCCTATAAATCTAAGCGATGAAGAAATAGCAAAACTCTCAGACACACAGTTTAAAACACTGGTGATCAGGATCCTCACAGAACTGGTTGATTTAACCGACAAATTAGACAAATATATGAAGGCGAAACTAATTGAAATGAATGGAATTGCACAGGAAACCAATAGCAATGAAAAGGAAACTGGGATGCAAATCAATGTAGTGGACCAGAAGAAAGCAAATAATGGCCAAACAGAAAAGAGTCAAGAAGCAAGAATTCAAAGAAATGAGGAGAGTCTTAGGAATGTCCAGGACATCTTTAAATGCTCCAACATCCGAATTATAGGGGTACCAGAAGGGGGAAAGGCACAGCCACCAGTGGAAAACTTATTTGAACAAATAATAAAGGAGAATTTCCCCAAGCTGGCAAAGGAAATAGACTTCCAGGAAATCCAGGAAGCTCAGAGAGTCCCAAAGAAGTTGGACCCAAGAAGGAACACACCAAGGCACATCATCATTACATTAGCCAAGATTCAAATGAAGAAGAGAATCCTAGAAGCAGCAAGAGCTAAGGGGACAGTCACCTACAAAGGAGTCCCCATCAGACTGTCAGCAGATTTCTCAAAAGAGACCTTACAGGCAAGAAGGGGCTGGAAAGAGGTATTCCAAGTCATGAAATCCAAAGGCCTATGACCAAGATTGCTCTATCCAGCAAAACTTTCATTTAGAATGGAAGAGCAGATAAAGTACTTCTCAGATAAGATCAAATTCAAGGAGTTCATCATCACCAAGCCCTTATTATATGAAATGTTAAAGGGACTTATCTAAAAAAAAGAAGATAAAGAAACATGAACAGTGAAAGGACAACAAGCTCACAGTTATTAACAACCACACCTAAAACAAAAGCAAACTAAAAGGACAGCTAGATCAGGAGTGGAAACATAGAAATGAAGATCTCAAGGAGGGTTAGCAACAGGGGAGTGGGAGGAGGAGAAGGGGGGAGAAGGTACAGAAAATAAGTAGCATAGACAGTAGATAGAAAATAGATAGGGGGAGGGCAAGAATAGCATGGGAAATATAGAATCTAAAGAACTTGAGACACATGGTCATAAACTAAAGGGGGGTAATGGTGGGGATGGGGGGGTAGGATGGAGGGGAATGAAGGGGGGAACAACTGTAACAGCATAATCAATAAAAAATTTTAAAAAATAAAAATAAAAAGGAAAAAAAACAAAATAACAAAAATATTTCACATCTCAGATGCTCATTGTGCCAATATTTAGTGCATTTATTTTGTTGATAGTGGATAATTAATGCAGTTTAGTAGCACTGGTTTTTAAGTCATTCAGCCTTGGAAACTAAGTTTCATTTCTAATTTATCAGTATCAGCCTGTTTTAAAAGTGGTTTCATCTTCTTTTGACCCTTTCACCTCCTGCCCCTGCCCCAATAATACATTTACTTTGTCCTGTGGTACAAAATATAATTATAGTGGTACCTCAGTACTTGTAATTCGTTCCGGAACTTGTGTTGAGTACCAAACAAGCAACGAGCAATGAAGTATTTTCTCTCACGAGGTGATGTTGTAGCTCGTACAAATTGTAGCAAGTGGGACTAGTCCCAAGCAAGTGAAGTGCTGAAACATTTTTTTCTTGTCAAAATGCAACCAGTACAGGGGTTTGACGAGTTCTGAAACCGAGTACCAAGGTATGACTATTTAACAGGTGCATTTTTTATTGCCCACTATACTAAATACCTTGCATGCTGTTGTGTATCTTATTTAAAGTAACTCACAGAAGCATTATCTTCCCCCATTTTACAGCTGGGCAGGCAGAGACGTGCACGGGGACCTCTGCTGGCAAAAGAAAGGGTTGGAAGCTTGTGCCAGGACTTCTGCAGCAGCTAATGGTCTGTGTGTGTTGTTCTGTCTCGGGCCTCCTGTCATCTTCAGTCCTGAGGTGTAATGATTACATTTGGAGGTGTATTTATAATACTCCCTGCATCCAGATGCTGTACCAGTTTTCCAACTCCAGGGTTTTCAGTCTGTTCTCACAACTTTGTCAAATTCCTGCACAAACTGTGCCCTATTTAAGCTACTCTGGTCACCCCTGATTAAGTTGTGTTAAAGCTGGACTAGATACTGAAGTCAGCCCTCACCAGTGGGAGTGAATGCCAAAATGCCATAGTGATCTGAATGCCCACTACATGCACAAGGAAGCATGTTTGCTACAGTATTTAATGGTTTGTCGGTGGGTAATTAAAAGATTTGTGTGGTCCAATTCAAATTCTTTACTCTTAGCTCATGACTGAAGAATGTCGTCAGGTTGTTACCGAATGGAACTGTGGTGGGGTCAAAATACTGTTACCGAAACAAGCCTCCTCTCCCGGGGTCTGTTACTGTGGGTTCATTGCCTGCCACCAGGTGTGAGAAATCATGACTCTCAATGCCAGAGTTTGGTGAAAGGAACTATTCAGAAGTTACATAGGTTGCTGAATAAAAATCCCAAAATTCCTTTAAAACACCCACAAACAGTCACACAGTCCTTCCTTACCCTCTTTGTCCAGCCAGGCCAGTCACGGGTACCGTATCTCAGGCAAAAAGACAAAAGTCTGCGACTTGTCTAGGCTCCCATTTTTCCGCCAAAACCGCATCCTCATAGTGAACCAGGGAATCCTTCTGCATCTTCCGAACTGCTAAGAGAGAGCTCTACATGGCTGCTACATCTTGCTTTCCTGCTTCCTAGGCCGCGTGGTCAAGGGAGCCCCCTCTCTGCTCCCCAAACATGTGGTTAAGCTCCGGCACGGCTGCTGTGCCTGGATTAAAATCGCGGCGCAAATCTTCCTCTGTAACCCCATTTCCGACTCCTCCCACAACTGGCTACACCTGCCAGCACTCCCAGGTTTTCTGCCTTTCTTGCCTGCCCTAGTTAGTCCTGGCAGGTGTGACCCTGTGGTGTGGAGCAAATCATCTCCAAGCTCTCAGGCAGGCGCTATAAGGGGAGCTCCCTCCCAGTTACATCACAGGCCAAAGTCATGCCCAACTCCCTAGCTAGACTTGATATGCAAAATAACTTTGTGTATCGAGTATGAAGCTACCCTGCTGTTATTGGTATGCACAGTAACTCTCAATGGCCCTGCTCCATGGGTCCCATCCCCCAGCCAGACTTGTGTGGGGGAGATCCTATATTCTGGGACACCCCAAGTTCTGGACACTTACAAATCCCGTTACAACGTCTGTAAGCAGAAGGTCCATTTCATTGTGCTTGCTTGTGTGAATAGACACTAAAAGCAGCTCAAGCTTACTACTGTCCTTGTCTTACCTTTTCCAAAACTCTTGGCTCTTTGACTTTCCATTTTTGTTGTGGAATAATTATAAAATCCAGCTTTCAAAAGTAGCATTATTATGTATATACACTCCAGAAATTAATTAGTGTTTATCACAGTATTGTGAAAGGGACAAATGCTTGGGTGTTTCCTAGTTAAAAGTCACTGCATGTAATTTTGTTTGCCAGGTCCTTCCTCTGCTTTTCAGTGGTGGTTATATTCTCTCATGTTTTCCAGTTTTAAAATGTTGAAGCAGAGTTCTCTTGTTGATCACCTCTTCAGGGTGAAATCTGAGGCAGGGTACTGGACAGGGCTCCAATACAAAGGGTCGTGCCGACGTTCATTGTGTCCTGCATAATGCCTCACTTGGCTAATAATGTTTCGTTAAATTAGAAGACGCCAACCACATAGAATGCAGTGTGAATGCTGCCCCCTGGAGGATGCAATATGGTACTGGGAGGGAAGTACAGCTGGAAGCCAGCAGTGCACATTTAGGGATTTTTTTTTTCAATGTCAGGGATTCCTATATTAAAATAGCAGGAAGGTCGCTTCTACACCTGCCAGGTTGAGCGCTCTGGTCAGCTCCTCTGCAGGTGCTGCTTGCTTACCCAGGGGGAGCTGGGGTGGGACAGGAACACCACAGGGAAGCAGTGCTCAGGAGGGATGGCAAAAACCGTACACTGCGTGGGTATCCCCGTCCCACTTGGGGAATATATCAACGCAGACAAAACATAGACCCTGAATTCCCTTAGGAGCCTTTATAAAAGATGACAGTTTAAATGAAGGTAAAAATGTGACGTTTGGGAGTTTCTTTTGAAAATGAATCATACTTCCATTCTTAAAAATAAGTAAGAACCTACATATTGAGGTCAGTGCCCCCCTGTAAATGGCTCAAGTTAGAGGTATGGAGGGCTGGAGGCCAGCAGACCAGGGACTAAAGCAGCTTGGAGATGGTAGCTCTGTGATAAGGAATAACCTCTAATAAACTCCACTGCAAAAAGTGAGCCAAAGCCAATGCAAAGAATACAAAGGTTGAGGAAGCGAAGCTGGAATATTCCGTGGTAACCTCTGGGCTGACCAGGAGTCAGTGAGAAGGGGGGGTGCTTCGCCGTAGGGGAGGGATGCACAGATGCCGACAGTCCTTGAGAACCTGAGACAAACGGGAGCACCTGTTTAATTTTCAAAAGGCTAATGAAGAAACAGATGGCCCAAAAACATCTTTATCCGACAGGAAACCTTATAACAGTGAATTAGAATCTGCTGAGAAATCGAGAGGCTTTGCCACAGTTATCAATGAGAATTAATATTTCCCATGAAATGGAAAGATTTACACGAGGGGGACTTGGGGCGGGCCACCAAAGCCACCATGAATGTCCTTAGACTGTAACTGTTTTTAATGAAGAGAGGCTGACTGGTTATTTTTGTCCAGAAAACAAAGCTCAATATTGTTTTCATTGTTATGTATATATAAATATACATTGATATAAATAAATAGATCTTAACTTTTTAAAAATTGATGTTCAAGTACAGTTGCTACATTTTCCTCCCACCTCTCCCTGCGACCCCAAGATCTTAACTTCGTTTTCAGTGTAAAAGAAAACTTGTGTTCTAATAAAAACCAAGTTTGAAATATTTGTGTTTTGCAGCAGTATTTGGGGAAGTTGAGGGCTTTGTGTATCAATAACACTAATAATAAATAAAAATATTCCATAGTTGCTTCATTTGTTACAAATAAAAGAATAATCAATATATTACGCAACCTTATTAGCAAACAAAATGCAAACTAAAGGTGTTTCATTATCTCATTAGAAAAAAATGCTCAATGCTGGAAAGATTTCAGTGAAATGGCTACATTTTAATCATTGAAGACAGTATAAATTGATATAATTACACACACACACACAACTGGAAATACTTTAGGCTATGAAAATTTATATACCCTTTGACCCAGCTGGGAATTTATAAAAGAAAATCGAAAACGAAAGAAGGAAAACGATCTATGTACACGAATATGTTGCAGTAGCAGCAACAAATGGGAAACAACCTCAGTGTCTAGTAAGGAGGCCGGGTAAGTCAGAGGTTCGAAAGCGGACAATTGAAGCAGACTTAAGAGCAGCATTTAATTTTTTAAAGGCAAGTTACAATATTGTACTTATATAATGATTAAAATTTTAGAGATGCATTTAGAAAAACAAAGTGGATATATAGTTGTTCACAGTGGTAAGATTAGATGTGAATTTTCTCACATTTGTCATGTTTTCATGTATGTTGGGAAATACATTCAAATGAGATGCATAAATCTTCAAGTTCAAAATAATTTGACACATGTCTAAAAAACCTGCTGAATGAGAATGCTGGGAAAGGCTCTTACTGTGTGATCTCTTTTACCCCGGTGAGCACACTGCTTGGCTAACACTAGACGTGTGTAAGTGCGTGCTGCTGTGTAAAGAATTTCTAGCCAACACACGCCCCCCCGTGTCCATGTGTCTCCACACCCGAAAAAGCCCAGGGAAGAACAGTGATTCTTCTGCCCCTGGCTGAGCACTCACCTCCCCCCGACACAAAGTGCTCATCCACAGAATTATCAAACATACAGACAGGCTGCTAGCTCCTAGTACAGGTATTCCACCTAAAACTTACAGGGAGAGAATGAAAACATTTCTACTTCTAAATGTTATTCACAAAACTGATGACACTGGACTACTTTCATTATCTGAAACAATTTTCAGTATCAAATGAGTGGTTATGCCCGGCATAAAGTACTCGTTGTAATCACTTAAAATAGTATTTTATCCCTTTTGCACCCTAATTTGTAAGTGCTCTCAGGTCTGAAAATTAATTAAATCTGCTTTCAGCATTCTGCTGCAGAGCTAGGGAGCTGGGTCCTTTAGAATGCTCTAACAGCTTGATGGCCTTGTCAGAGTTTTCAATATTTCTGAGCAGAGTCTCTAATCGCCTCTTAATTTTCTTCTGATCTTCAAGAGCACAGCCGATCACTATGGACTGAAACTTCTGGTCAACCGGCCCAGGCGGCACCTCAGATGTGCACGCACTATACAGCGACATCAAATGACTCTTGGCATTTCCCAGATCATCCAAAAACTTACTGACCACCTCATCAATAATCCTGGTGGCGTGCTTTAGGGACTCCTGCTGCTGAGGGTTTCTAATTGTTTCTACCGAAACTTCAACGGTGAGGGTCCGTCCCATCAAACGGTTTGCAGTCAGATTTAATTCTTCTCTTTCTCCTAAACATAAAAAGGTCGAAATATCAGTCAATATGAGACATAAACTTAAGTAATGTTGAAGGGGTTCAGAACAGGCTTTCCCAAGATGTGCTATGCTGGGATGTGTGGGGCCAGCTTTTCTGCCAGAGGGGCTTGTCCAGCACGGCCTGGGCTGGGGAGCACAGGGCAAGGAGGACCTCTGGGTAAGCGGCTCTTCTGATAAAGTGACAGCGGCAGCTGCTGCTCACTGCTCACAGTAACTGCTGAAACCCGGTGTGCTCACACCGCAGCTCAGGCAAACGCCAGCCCACGCTTATCATGAACCCCCTAAAGGGTGGAAAGACGAGCCCACACTCGTGGGAAGAGCTCTCACCATCGCTGATCTGCCTCATGTCCTGGCTGTTTTGGATGCTGTGGATCATTTCCAGGAGGATTTCTTTCTCTTGCTCAATAGCAGTTGCTGCTTCTCTTAAAGCTTCCACCCTGTATAAATTGGGAAAACACAACAGTTGCTGCATGGAAGACGAGTCTTCCTCATCTTTCTATCATCATTCAGCTCAGGTTTAAAGATCAATGGACTTCACCTCCATTCACACTCACCTCTCCCCGCAGGTCTTCCTCACTACAAATACCACTTCAGCGACTACCTGCCCCTCAGGATACATCCCAGGGCAGAACCACTGAGACACGGAGCCTGTTCCCGCAACGTGACTCGGTACTAGGACTGCTCTCTAGAATGGCAGCCCACCAGGCCATGTTCCTGGCGGCAAAGCCCAGGAGTCCCTCTATTCCCACAGCTGTGCCAATACCCAGCATTTTCCCATTTTGTAACTACTCGTTGCATCTAGTAAGTATAGTGAAGCCTGATCACAGCCTTGCCCTTTTTCGTTTTTTTTTTTTTTTTTTAAACAAGCATTGCTGTTCTCTTGTTGACTTGCCTACTCACAGTACTAACCCCTCGGTGGCACAGACCACAGTACTAACCACTCAGTGGCATCATCTCCTCCCACCCTGGCATACATGACCTTGGGGACATCCTTCACTGGACAGAGATCCTTATTTTGAAGAGATCAAATTCAGCTTTTCCTGGTTTTATTTTGCTTTATGGTTTATGCTTTTGAAATTTTGTTTCAGGTTCTTCCCCATCCCTAGGTCATAAGATGTTCACCTATATTTCCCTCTATGAACTATTATTTTACCTTTATCATATTTACATGTTAATCCATCTAGAATCCACCCTTGCATACAGTTAGATGTTGTTTTATTTTTCTCCCAATAGCAACCCATTTTCTCCAACATTATCGACCAAAAACCCATCTTTCCCCCAATGATTTGTAGATGGTCAGCCTCTGAAATCTCTATTCCATTTGACTGTTGTGACACAAACACCCATTTTAAGAAATAGAACTGGTCTTATAAAATGCCTTAGTAGTTGGCAGAAACAGCCCCCTAGTCCTCTTTAAAGAAAACTTAGCTACTTAGACTTTTATTCCTCTGTATAAACTCCAGAGTGAGTACGTTGGGGTTTTCAAAAACCGGGGTAACTCTGACACCTCTGCGGTTCTGCCATTCCACGCAAAAGCGTGCAAGGTCTCCATTTACTCAGATCCTCTGCTATATACTCTATCAGAGTTTGAAGTGTCCTTAATGATAGGACTGTGGGCTCTGGAGTGTTCTAGACACATGGTGGCTATTGCTGCTACTGTGAATAATTTATTTTTAATCATATTTTCTAGTTTGTTATTTCGGGTTAGAGACATGCTGTTTTCTAGGTTTATCTTGTAACCAGCAACCATGACTTACACCTAATTTTAATGATTTGCCTTTTGATTCTATTGGTTCTTCTAGATTGATGATCATAAAATCATAGTTTTTATCTTCTCTTTTTCAATGCCACTAGCTCCTATTTTTCTTTATATAGTACTGACTAGAGACCGCCAGTGCTGTATTAAATAAATAGTGATGGTAAGAGAGGGCATGTTTGCCTTTCCCAAATTTAAAGCAAATGCTTCTGTAAGTTTCTGGCACAGAGCCACAATCAAACTACAGAAGCACCACTTTCCCCAACCCCCAACCATACACACTCACACACTGTGACTACACACACACACAGATATACCCAGTCACTGAAGAACTAGGCTGTGGAATCTTGACAGCAAGAAAAAAAAACCCGGTATATTTAAAGCGCTCTGTTTCCAGGGTACCTTCTGGCTGTAGAGTACACCACAGCGAAAGAAGTTGCCAGCTTTTCCAAAATAAACAGCGGCAGACTCATCCCCAGTATTCAGGTGGCCTTAGAGACACAAGACCCTGGAAGATCTAATCCTGGGTGCTGCCTTAAGGGGGCACAGAAGGAACAGACCCACCCGTGTTTCAGCACCTGTCCACTCCATAGAAAGGTCCCCAACCCCCCACCCCAACCACACACATGCCTTTTCCCCAACGGTCACCCACCTGTTATACCCCGAAATAGCACGCCTAAGCAGAAAAGTCACAGGGGCTCTTGATTCATCAAGATGCTAAATATATGTTGGACTTAGTGTTTGTAAGAGCCAGTCAAAGCAATGAGCAGTAAGAAGCTTACTATGTAACACATCTGGCTAAAAACACAACAATAAATAATAATCTATAACATAGAAAAACGCAGCGTCAGGCTACTTTTAGCACCATCGGACACATTTTACATTTGCAAACTCTCAGACAGATAACCTGGGGCCCAGTACGCATGACAGAGACTGAGTCGGCACTGACATGAAATATTCATGCTAAAAACACAAACCCTGACCCTAGTATTTAAATGACACAGATGGACCGTGGACTGGTAAATGAGAAGATGCTGAAAGAAGAGATGAATTTTTTAACACTCGAGTTTGTATTGAAATGTAAGATGATAAAGGATTGAGTTATCTAAAAAGTGAGGCTTTATTTATAACAGTTACAATAGTAACTTCATGGTGTTAATAAAAATGGTTTAAAAGGGGACACTCTAGAAAAATATGACCTGTCATATGAAAAAGTATATTTTCTCATTAAATGAGACCAAATATATAGGAAACTAGATGGAAATTTTATGGCCCCCCCCAAAAGGCTAGATATTGATTGACAGGGCATATTCCTGGTGAAGAACAGATTGCATCTTTTACAAAGCTCATATTTGTTTTCATGTAATAGCAGAGGTAAAATATCCTTCTTCGGAACCAAGGGTTTTTGTTTTGTTTTGTTCCTGGCATCCTTGACCTTCTACTTGCTATTCTCTTGTCACAAACTTTCTTTTTTTAAAAAAATTGTATTCATTTATTTTTAGAGAGAGGGGAAAGGAGGGAGAAAGAAAGGCAGAGAAACATCAATGTGCGGCTGCCTCTCGCACACCCCCGTCTGGGGACCTGGCCCACAACCCAGGCACGTGCCCTGACTGGGACTTGAACCAGTGACTTTTTTGGTTCACAGGCTGGTGCTCAATCCACTGAGTCACACCAGCCAGGGCGTCTGCAACATTCTCTATCCTTGACCCTTGTCTACTGGGGATCCTTTGTCAAACCCCAATCCTTTTGGCAGGTTCCTTACCAACTTGCCCGCCTCTTCCCTGAGGCAATCAGTGTCTTCCTCCACACTGTCTGTCCAGTGTACATCTGTCTAGTGTATGGACTACATAGTGTTTTTAATCTTTTCTTTTAAAAAGCTGTACCTGGATCTCTACTTACCTTGTTTAAGTAGTATTCGTACTGTTTATCAGCTATTGGTATTCTTTTTCTTTTTAATCGTCATCTGAAAATATGTTTTTTAATTGATTTTAGAGAGGACGAAGGAGAGACAGAGAAAAGGAAAACATCCATCGATTGCCTCCTGGGCCCGACCGGGGATGGAACCTGCAACCGAGATGTGCGCCGTGACTGGGCATCAAACCTATAACCTTCTGGCGTACGGAACAACGTTCCAACTAACTGAGCCACCCAGCCAGGACTATTGGTATTCTTAAATCCAACTCCTATAATCTGTTGGTCTACCTTTCCATTAGTTCTAGCCAATTGTTAGCTGTTATGTCTTCAAATATTTCCAGTCCCCTATGCCATTATTTTCTTCTGGAACTCTGGTTAGACAAATATTAAATGAGGTTGGACCACCTCACTTAATCCTTCAAGTTTCTTTAACACATCACTGGACAGCACTTCTCTTGGCGGAGACGTGCAGTTCTGTTTTTACTAACGGATCCTGGAAGCAGCTACAATTGGTGAAGGAACTTCTCCTCACATCAGGGCTGGCCTGGGCTGTGCTTCTAGGAAGCTCTCTGCATGAAATGACAACTAAGCAGGCTTTAACCAAAAGGAACTGTCATCAGAATATTCACAGGGGGACAGAACTGAAGTGCACTCATGCTCAGCCAAGTGCTCTGGTCTCTGGCATCTCACAACCCTCTGCAGCCTGGCTATCAAAAGACAACTTATCAGGAGACTTAGGAGAGACCCAGCAGTGATTTCACAGACTGGGGCTACTACAGTGTCAGCTAGTCCAGGACACCTGGACCCTGCGGTGGCTTTTCAGTCTAGCTCTCCACCCCCTGAGTAGTTACGGAAACATTCCTCGCCTCAGTTTCCCTCAGAGATGAGGAGGAAGAATTCAACACAGTGACAACACTGACTTAAAAAATATATACATGAGTTAATATATGTAATGGGCCCCAAATTGGGGCTGGCAAACATTAGCTTCATGATATTTATTATATGCTAACCATCATGAACACGGACTTACAAATAACAGGAATTTGTGTCTTTATAAAAAGGGATGAAAATGGAAAGTGCTCCTATCGTGGATTTATTTCAAAGAAATAATTTCTAAAATAGGTTCTTAAAATCAGAGTCCTGTCTCTTATGCAATACTCTGGTGTCGAAAGAATACTACAATGATCACCCCTATTTTCGGCAATGTAAGATTTTGAAGGGTTTTCCTGATCATGACGAAACATTGAAGCACATTCACTACGGAGACACTGGTATAAAGATGGGACTGGTGTTCGGTGTGAGGGGCTTACTCGTGAGCAGCACGGCCTCAGGCAAAGCCACTCAGACCCTCTGGACCTCAGGTCCAGAGACAGCATCTGCCCTCCTAGTAAAAGGGCTGTGCAAGGTTCAAATGACAATGTTTATGAAAAGTACTCTTTTTAAATTATAGGCTTTTATAAAACATTACCCATGACAGCATCTTCTTTTATGACTCTTGGGACCCTGGCACACCCAGAGGAACAGGAAACTTTCAGTGAGACAAGTGATCCGTATCACCTGCCTTCATCCCCCCCACCCTCCATTCCGCCGAGGCCCCGTAAGCCCCTGCAAACGGCTGATAAGAGGGAGAAGGAGCCACAGTGTGATCAGTGTGAGAAAGTTTGTGAACAGCCAGCCTCCCGTCCTGTCCCTTCCCCCTGTGCCCTTCTCCACGAAACCGTGTCCCATCCTCATTACCGTCCAGAGCCTTCTAGAAGCCACTCAGTCCCTGGCACTGAGTGGGTGTTCAATGGTTACTGAATTCAACAGTGGGCTTTACAGATCTTTCAGTAAAATCATATACTCAGCCTTATACTTCCCACATTTGAAAACACGACCTATTTAAGAAAACTAGTACTACAGCATTCAGCTCTACAGCCAGTCTTCCAGGGTTCTAGCCATGTGACCTGGGGCAAGACATTTCACTTTTTAAGATTCCATTTCCCATCAGAAGAATAGAGGTCCTAACTTCCACAAAGGCAGGGACCTGGCACACAGTCAGTGCGCATCCAATGAATAAATGTTAGCATGTATTATTTATAATGAGGGCAACTTAAGCAAGGTGTTTTGAGCCACCAAGAATGCAAAAACCAGACAACCATGTAGAACTGGTGATGACATGAAGGGTTAGCAACAGGGGAGTGGGAGGAGGAGAAGGGGGGAGAAGGTGCAGAGAATAAGTAGCATAGACAGTAGGTAGAAAATAGATAGGGGGGAGGGCAAGAATAGTAGGGGAAATATAGAATCTAAAGAACTTGAGACACGTGGTCATGAACTAAAGGGGGGGAATGGTGGGGGAGTGGGTGTGCAGGGTGGAGGGGAATGGAGGGGGGAATAGAACAACTGTAATGGATTAATCAACAAAATAAATAAAAAATAAAATAAAATAAAATAGAACTGGTGATAAAACCAGGAGATAGAGGGATCATCTTATTAGAAGGAATCAAAAAAGAAAAGCTAGTGACTTGGTAAAATGTTAGACACAAATGGGGTTTCTTTACTGATTTGCAGAATGTTGCCAAATATCTGAAAGCAGTTTAAACGTAACAGTCACCAACCAGTTCAACTACCAGGTCCTAAAATATTTGGCATATTTGTTTTCAGTTTCATAAGAAGTTTCAACCACAATCTATAAAATTAATACTGATGAGAAACTATAAATGCAAGCTTCTGTATGTAAACTCTACCTAAATCACTGCTGTATTACTCATCCTTGATACAGAATTAAACTATTAGAGCAAAATTACACATATCATGTTTTCTTTTAAAAATTCACTTTCCAGGCATAAGTCTAGTTTTTCACAGTGTAGTACTCTGTGATTTTGCCCATGTGGTTTCAAATAAACTTTAATGGATGACATTTGCATTTTTCTGTTTTTACTTACTTTCTGAAACACTTCCCTACTGTTCAGTCAATGTTACTTTTTTTTTTAAAAGAAAGAAACAACAGTCTAAAACTATGAGAATCGTAAGTCATTAAAATGAACAATTCAATACAATCAGTTTTTCCTCCTCAGGGGTTAACCTCAAGGGTTAATTAAGAAAGAGATTAATCATTTGTGCACAGCAATCAGAATTCATTTTATATTAATCAATATTAGAATATAATAATACTCAAACCCAGAGGCTTTCTTTCAGAGATGAGTACTTGACTTTTGTACCTACCACAAATGAGGCATTTATTCAAATTTGAGGACAATGACTTAGTTTGAAGACGGAGAGGGAAGCCTTCATTCCTTTCAGGAAAAATTATTTCTTTCTAATTAGGGGAGAGAGACCTTTGAAATGGTTGAAAACACACCCTCAAAGCTGTAAAGATGAGGGGAGGTGTGTAGTTACTTGTTATACTGCAACGTAAAAGAAATATTCTTCAGAGGGCGTTAAGTACCCGAGGCCACTGACCTCTAGTTTTGCTCCCCTTTCTCTGGGGGTTGATGTAAAAACGTTAATGTTAAAAGTAATGGAGAAGCATTACTTTTTCTCATTCTTGTTCTATTTTTTCTCATTCTCAGCAGAACCCCAGAAAGTGGTTTTGGCTCAGGATTCTCTAACTGTTGCCATCCATGAGATCACCGTGGGCGGAGAATTCCTCTTTTCTGACTCCTTTCTTGGGGTGGTGATAATGAATGCCTCCTTCGCTAACATATACTGTGGTTATCAATGCACTGCTTTGGAAAACAGATAGCTTTTCTTGTTTTGCTGTATCAACCCGGGGAGGTAACGCAGCACGTACTCCTTTGCTCACCCAGAACCTGGTGAAAACTATGGGAAAAAATTCCGTGTAGGTCCAGAGGGCTGTGGGTGCCTTAATGAGACTGTCATTTAACTACACGTGCACACAATTTACACAACAACTTTAGTGACATAACATTTACAGGAAGTACAATACATAAAAGTTTTCATATACTGTTAAAGGAGGTATTTCCAAAACTTAATATGACTTGCTTCGGAATTCTATACAAGCCTAGCACCTCATTACTGAATAAAGTCGTACTCAGTGAAGAGGGAAAAACGGCAACTATCTTATCCTGTCCGGCTGGTAGCTAGCACTCTGAAGAAGGTGTCAGCACAGCACCTCCTTTAGGAGGTACACACCATCAATACCGAGTCTACAGAGGGCTGAATACAGGATTAGGGAAAACGGAAGCTGCAGGGACTTCATTCCACAAAGTACCAAGCTAGCGTTCACCCTGAAGTGCCTGGTTTGTCCTACTCTTCTCTAACCCTTGCTGTCAGATGGACTGCTGGATTTAAAAATTTTTTTGCTCTTAAGTGTTTCAGAGCAGAGAAACTGATCATTCCCATCAAGGACAGCTCAGCTGCTGCCTCTGTTCGAAATGTACAATAGGTAATGAATAAGTTGAAAACATTTGGGAAGACCATACGCTGGCACCCAGAAGGTTCCAGAAGTTCTGTAGATTGTGCGTGTCACCGTCCCTAATCTCAAATGACGTTTTTTATCTTCTCTGATTTTTCTGCGCTCTCAAACGCTCAGGTCTGTTAAGGACCACGTGGCCGCCAGTACTGGGCTCATGGGTTCTGCTTAAATAGAACGCGTTTTCTCAGACCAGAGAAGAAAAGCCACCCAAACACGACTGCACCTTGTCCAAGGAAAACAAGTCTCCGGTGCGCAGTGCCCCTGGCCGTCGCCGCGCTCACCTGAGCTCCAGCTGGTCCAGGCTCTCCAGCAGGCGGCTGGAGCGGTCGGCCATGGAGGACGAGCGGCAGAAGCGGCCCTCGTTGGCTTTCGCGTTGATCTTTGCTTGAGCCATCGGAGCCTCTGAGGCGGGACAGCCAGGAGGTCACGGCCTCTCCAGCGGCGGTGGCGAGTGGAGAGCTCCTGTGGCCGCGGGTGGCGTCGTCACCGCGCGGGCTCCCGCCTCCTTCTGACGCCCGCGAGGGAGGGGGCAGCCCGGAGGCGCCGCTTCTGCCGCTGCCGCGTGGCCAAACAAGGGCAGGCGCAGCGCCCGCGGCCTCGGGGGGCTCCGGGCCTGGCCGGGGGAGCGGCGCGGTGGTGAGAGACGCCTGCTGGACGGGCAGACGCAGAAGGGGAGGCCCTATGTGATCCGCGGACCCATCTGCCCCTCTGAGCCTGATACAGATCAAACCGCTGCGGAGGCACGCAGAACACTCCGCTCCCCAGGCCCCGAAGCTCCGTGCAGCCCCAAAGTCACTAACTCCCCGCAAGCTAATGGTAGGCTGTGGCTGTGTCTGTGATGGCTTCGCTTAGTTCCTCCCAGCCCCCATAATTCACAGCAAAAACAAGAACGTCAAAGTCCAGGGATACATGGGGAAAGGGTCCTCTTAGGGGAACGAACGGAAAACATTTAAGTCCAGCCGCTACACAGTCTGTACTTGCCCCGTTACCACTTCCCTAAAATGAGAATGACACAAGGCAGGTAACTGAGGGAAAATAAAAATCTACCCAACTTTCCAGTTGGATGTAGGAAACAAGGTGAACTGACTTCAACACATTCTAATGAAAGGGTTTTTAATGGCTTTTTTTCTCTTAAAAAGTAATTCGTTTTGGAATGAGTGAAATGATTGGCTTAATTAAAGCCATTTCACACCTAATTTATATCAATCTGTCAAGAATGAAAAGGTGCAGTAAGTCACTAGGTCAGTTACTATAAAAGGTCGGTAAAATGGAACAGGGCTGGGAATTCAAACTTGTGATTTGCTCCCATCTCATTATGGCGATATTCTTCATATTGCAAGGATGAGAATGTACAGGACACAGAAAATGGTAGGTAATAACAGCTTAAAGCTGAATCGCAACCTCTAAGCTGAGATCAAAGCCATTTAAATACATGAACAGAAATGAGGCCCTTAACACTGGTACCCAATTCCCTCAGACCTCAATCCAAACACTAATAAACTTTTGGCACTGGGGACTACTTGACATCATTAAATATATTTTGTCATGCCATGATACAAACTTGGAATTCGAAGATATTCTGTGACTGGCTTAAAGGTATATTAAGTAATTTTAGAATCATCCTAGATGCTCTACTTTCAGAATATATCCAACTCAGTCTCTCCAGTTTCACTGCCACCACCAATTCTCACCCGGTGATACTGGAGCACCCTCCTGCCTGGTCTCCCTGCTTCTACTCTGGCCTCTCACCTATGCTGCCACTGCAGTGCCTTCAGTAATCTTTCTACAATAAATGAGGCAAATCACAACTTATTCTCAGAAACCTTCAATGGCTCCTCATTTGAGTACAAGCCAAGGTCCTTAGAAAGGCCTCAGGGTCTTCGTCTATTACTCTCCTTCCTCCTGACAGTCTTCTTGCTTTTCCATGGACATATCAAGCTGACTTCTAGGCCTTTCCCCCTCCACGTGGCACTCTTTTCCTCACACTATTTGCATGGCTCACTCCATCAACTTCAGGTTTTTTTTGCTCAAGTTCATCTTGCCAGATTCTTTCAGACCACCCCATTAAAAACAACAATGCGCCCACCCAGCCCCCACCCTATCTTTCCCTTCCTCATATTCCTTACTCTTGAATCACCATTGGACACACTTGCTTATTATATCTAACACTATCCGACCTCCTCTCCTAAGTGTGTGCACTCCACAGAGTGTGCTTGGCTTTGATCACTGGTATATACCTCAAGTGCTTAGAACCGTCACTGGCACATGGAAAATATGCAGTAAGTATTTTGTGAGTGAATGAATAAATGAATGATAAAACAAAAAGATAAGCACCTTTATATCAATGTTAGAAACATTTACTTTGGTACCTGAGTAATCCATATAATTTTCTGTAACATTATCCACTGATTACACCTCCCCCTTGTATCTAAATAAATTTCAAATTATAAAATAATTTTTAAATGATTTTAATTGCTTAACAAGTAGAAATACAATCAGTATTATAACTTTCTGTAACGTTAGCCATTAGTTATATATCCCTTTTATGTCTAAATAAAATTCAAATTATAAAATAATTTTTTAATGATTTTAATTGCTTAACAAGTAGAAATACAAACATTAAACAACTCAATTGCTTTTTAAGGGTTGTGATGAAAAGCTTCAGTTACTTTCTACCATATACACTCCAAAAACTAAAAAAAAAAAAAAAATCTTCACTTGAGGATATGTTCATTGATTTTAGAAAGAGGGAGACAAAGAGAAATACCAATGTGAGAAAGACATTGGTCGGTTGCCTCCTATATGAGCCCTGACTGGGGACTGAACTTGCAGCCCAGGCCTGTGACGCAACCAGGAATCAAACCCACAGCCTTTTGGTGTACAGGATGCTGCTCCAACTGAGCCACCTGGCCAGGGCCAAAAGCTTAATAGAACATCAAGGTACACCGCACGTGTGCGGCACCTCTGGCACAGAGGTGTGGTTTCCTCTTCTCCTTATCTCTTTAACCACGCTCCTTTCTGGAATGTCCTCCGTGCGCTCATTACTGCGCAAGCTCCTGCAGATGTCTGTTAGGTCTGGCTCAGAGACTACCAACTAAGGCCTCGACCACTTTAACATATAAATCAAAAGCACGATGTGGTCATTTTGGGAAAATGACTGGTAAACTCTCAAGCTATAAAAAAATAGTTAAAAAAAATGCAAACAGGTAGAACAGAACTGACAACTTAAGAAATAAAAATCACACACTGATTTCCAATGTAGACTGAAAATACTAGACTAATACAAAAATACAGCAATGCTATTTCACACAAAAATGTGTAATTGCACAGGAAAAAAACAAAATTGTAGCCATGATTCTTTTCTTTAAAAAATTTATAGAAAATCTGCAGTTTAGTAAGCAGTTACTACTCAGAAATTCGGGAGATGACATTTCCGGTCAAATAACATGAAGTATATACACAAAGATAGTATGACCAGTCCTTCTTAGGCTAATTATGCAATATTTTAAAATTATTCACAGTGGGGTCTCAACATTTAAAAATGAACCATGTATAACAAATGTAGGAAAATGAAAAAAGTTTAATGATTATCTAAAATTAAGGTACTTTTATATGAAATAAAAATTTTAAAGGGTTAAGGAAGATTATTCCTGAGTAGACCTTGAACATTATTTTTTAAGAGTATGTTCACACAAATATATAAAAAGGATTAATATTACTAAAAATAAGTGTAATGCTATGCAAATATTTTGACACCATTCCCCTTAAACAGTAAGTAATATAAGTCACACAAAAGTCTAAGCAGGTAAAAGGAATTGAAAAGGTTTCTTTTTAATTATTTCAAAGAAATTAGGGTGTTTTTATTCCAGAACTGTGCAGTTCTAATTAAAGCAAAAATACATATCTTTGTGAAACCCACAAGGAACAGTAAATTTTTTATCTGTTTCCATTTCTCTGTTCTAATAATCATAAGTGAAGATCTCAAAAGTTATTATATACATGTATTAGTGTACATAAGAAGTAGAATTTACAGAAAAACTAATCTATGACAGCTTTATTTATATTCATTTTCACTTCTAAAAAATATAAACTAGAATCATCTGTACAGTACAAATAAAGAAATAATGGTATTTGGGAAACATATAAACAATAGTCAAGAGCTTTTCTACTTTTTTTAATTCTTTTAATCTAAATATATGAATTCCAAGTTAACTAGGGAACTGTTAATATAAAATTTTGAACATGAGAAAGCATAAAAGCAGGTTTTCAAATACATCTGCACTAGCAGACTGCTCGCCTCCTTTAGAAAAACAATTCAAAAATTCATTATCCTGAATATCTTCAAGGCTACTTGCTGCTGTGTGGTAATACAGTTAATTACATTTCCTCAAGGCTTCTTCTAATAGCTTCTTCTAATTCCACATCTGCATTAAAAAAACAGAGAATTTTAATATTCAGGGCAAAAAAAACTACTAAACATGTGCTTTACATAGATCCCATCTCAACTACACCTGTCTTTTCTTTTTTAATTTTTTAAAAAGATTTTCATGTATTTATTTTTAGAGGGGAGGGAAGAGAGGAAGAAAGAGAAGGAAACAGCGATACAAGCGAGAATCATTAATCGGTTGCCTCTCATGGAAGCCCAACCTGGGACTGACGCTGCAACCCAGGCACGCGTCCTGACTGGGAATCGAGCTGACCACCTTTCGCTTTGTAGGGCAACACCCAGCCAAGTAAGCCACAACAGTCAGGGCTACATCCATCTTTTCAAGAAGTAAACAAATCAAAATGGAGAAAATTGGGAGTCTCTCCATAAATTTTGAACATTTCAAAATATGAGAATCTGGATATAACCTCAAACTGAGTTATAACATATGTGAACTTAATGTGCTAAGGAACTTGAAAGTTATTTCCACTTTGGAATGTAGAAGGTCAACACTGCTAGAATACTGATAGGTAATCACTAAATTTATATTAAAACATCTACTCACTTAATTCCAAGAAGAGTTGAGGTAATACAAATAAGACAAAATAGAAGTAGGCAAAAACATGAAATGGTAAAATATCACAGGCTATTAAAATTTTACTTTTAAGCTTTCTTGCATCTAAGGCAGAGAGTCATGGCTATGCTATAATATGTCTTCTGAGAAGCCTGTATTACATACACATTTGCACTCATTTAACAAATATTTATTCAGTGCCCACTGTACACCAGGCACAGAAATACAACAGCGAACAAGAGACATTCTTGGGTTCAGAGGTGTCTCCATTCCCTCCCTCAGACTGATGCGAAAGCCCAGAAGGGTAGAATTAAGTGCTAGCTTCCCACACCACATTTATCTCACCTCATCAAACCTATGGCTCTCAAAGTCTACTTGGTTCACAGGACTAGTGCTTCTTCGAGAATGCAGCCACACTTTCCTGAGCTGTCTGTCATTTAAAATACAAGGTCATATATACCACGTGTTCATTTAAACCTGGATTCTAGGTCAGTGAGTTGCCCTCAGGTGAATTCAGAGGGTTGAAGAAGTACAAAGAAAAGCCAAGATGCTCTTAGCAAAGAGGAATTAAAATGAAAAGATAAATGTAAAGATATGAAAACTCATTATGAAGTTATAGTAATTAAGAGAGGTGCTAGGGCACGACGAGATGAACACACCAAAGGAACAGCACGGATGTCTCAGAAACAGTTCCCACACGTCCACGGAAACTTGAACTAGA